TAAATCAATCAGACTGAAGCATTAAAGGGATAGTTCACCCAAAAATCATTTACTCACCCTTCACTTGTAAAAAAACTGAATTACGTTTGTTGTGTTAAGCACAAAAGAAGATCCACTGAAAAATGTTGGAAACCTGTAACCACTGCCATCAATAGCAAGAAAAAATATACTATATAAGACATTGATAACATGATTTCAAGGAACTTTAATATATCTTTTGTGTTCAAAACAAAAAAAAAAAACAACAACACAAAACTTATGTTTTAAAACATTTAGTTGAAACCTGATTAACTTAATAAAATAAGTTAAAGTAACAAAAATATTTGATGTCATGACTTTTTTTTTAGTGTGGAAACTGGTAGTTATGGATTTTTATATTTGGAAAGAATACTATTGAAGTCAATGGCTACAGCTTTCCAACACTTATTTTTTGTGTTCAATAAGAAAGAAGAGAGAAACTCAAATAGGTTTGAAACAATTGGAGGCTGAGTAAATGATGACAGATTTTATTTTCCATTTTAAATGCTTACTTTATCTAAAAAAAACATATTTAGGGCCATGTTGTTTCAAACTCGCTTGCATTTTATTTTTCTTCACTGGATCCAAAAAGACGTGTAATTAAGTAAAATAAGTTTTTTTCCCCCCAAATAAAACTCAATGTATGGTTGATTTACATCCCTTAAACTTTTATTTTATTAAGAAAAAACATTTTCCAAAATATACATTTTTATATATGTAAAATATGACAGACTCTCATTCTAAAGGTGAAATATCTCTTTAACACAACACAACTATCTGAAAACACTGCAACAGTACCATCACATTGTAAAATGTTATTTTTAAAAAGCTATCTGAGAAGATAATGTGTGTTCTAATTTTGTGAGTTAGAGCACTTTGTTGAGACCTGTTTAACAGTATGCATCAAGTGAGTGTCATTTTATAAGTGTTCAATGGAAAATATTAGTGTTTAAGTTATTTTAAGAAAGAGAGTCACCCGATGTTAATAATTACAACTAAAATAACCACTTTATACTGGACCAAAGCCATTACTATGGTCTCGTGCTGAAGAACAAGATATTAATAGCATTTAGAGTTCAGTTTAGGTTCATTTGCTTGTAATAATAAATAACAGTCACTCTAACACTTAAAAAAAGGACCCTGTATTATGAAGTACTGTCATTAACAATTTTTTTTCCAGGAACTAAAACAGACACTTAATGGCAAGCATCAAATGCAAGGAAACATTTTCACTGTCAAATATATAAAACAGTGTTACTTGCCAGTTGTCTGTTTATTAACAGTTTCTTATTTTGTGTTTCCCATCTATTTACAGTTGTGTGGACATTATGGGTCCACAATCTCTGCTCTGTCTACATTTGATGTTGAAAATTCAACTCTACAGTTTAACAAAGTGACTTTTTCATTGACATTTTAGTTTGAAATAATATAATGTAAAAGTAATATAATATAATGTATAATGTACTGCTCTTTAAGTTGAGTAAAAAAAAAATTCCTGAAGCTGGTTGCCTTAAAATTTTAAGTTAAATAAACTTTTACTTTTACAGTGTAGACAACAAGCAACATTGGGTGGTAGAGGTGGGAAAATGTCTGTGATTTGGGATTCATACTCAGGACACCCAAAGTGCAATTGGCCTGTATGTCATTGAACTGCGAACAAGGCTATCTGTGCCAACAGTTGCCTCTTTTTTTTTTAAACAAAATAAAGCATGTGAAGCTTCATATACGTGTCAATAAAAATGTTGTGTCATCAGACAATGAAAGGTTTTAGGTTTAGGCCCTGTTAGATTTAGACCCTTTATAAAGTTGTAGTGATAAATTATTATGAAGATTAACAGGATAGTTCAACCAACATGTTTTAAAGAATTACTGTACAATATTTACTTAAACATTTTTTTATTATTAATAAATAAATAATCATACAGGTTCATAAACAACTCTAAGCAAAATATACAATTTTACAACTTATTAGGTACACCTTACTAGTACCAGGTTGGAGACCTAATTAGTTACTAATTTCCCAGATTATAAAATAGCTCCTTCATTACTATAAGACTGTACAGGTCCTTCTCAAAATATTAGCACATTGTGATAAAATTCATTACTTTCTGTAATGTACTGATAAACATTAGACTTTTATATATTTTAGATTTATTACACACAACTGAAGTAGTTCAAGCCTTTTATTGTTTTAATATTCATGATTTCAGCATACAGCTCATGAAAACCCCAAATTCTCAAAAAATTCTCAAAAAATTAGTATATTTCATCCGACCAATAAAAGAAAAGTGTTTTTAATACCAAAAAAGTCAACCTTCAAATAATTATGTTCAGTTATGCACTAAATACTTGGTCAGGAATCATTTTGCAGAAAAGACTGCTTTAATGCGGCGTGGCATGGTGGCAATCAGCCTGTGGCACTGCTGAGGTGTCATGGAGACCCAGCATGCTTCGATAGCGGCCTTAAGCTCATCCAGTGTGTTGTCTTGCGTCTCTAAACTTTCTCTCCACAATATGCCACAGATTCTCTATGGGATTCAGGTCAGGAGAGTTGGCAGGCCAATTGCGCACAGTAATACCATGGTCAGTAAACCATTTACCAGTGGGTTTTTTTTCAGCCATGCTGAAAAATGAAATCTTCATCTCCATAAAGCTTTTCAGCAGATGGAAGCATGAAGTGCTTCAAAATTTCCTGATAGATAGCTGCATTGACCCTGCCCTTGATAAAACACAGTGGACCAAAACCAGCAGCTGACTTAGCACCCCAGATCATCACTGACTGTGGGTGCTTGACACTGGACTTTTGCATTTTGGCATTTTGGCATTTCTCTCTCCCCAGTGTTCCTCCAGACTCTGGCACCTTGATTTCCGAATGACATGCAAAATTTGCTTTCATCTGAAAAAAGTACTTTGGACCACTGATCAACAGTCCAGTGCTGCTTCTCTCTAGCCCAGGTCAGGCGCTTCTGCTGCGGTTTCTGGTTCAAAAGTGGCTTGACCTGGGGATGTAGCCCATTTCCTGCACATGCCTGTACACGATGGCTCTGGATGTTTCTACTCCAGACTCAGTCCACTGCTTTCGCAGGTCCCCCAAAGTCTGGAATCGGCCCTTCTCCACAATCTTCCTCAGGGTCCAGTCGCCTCTTCTCGTTGTGCAGCTTTGTCTGCCACACTTTTTCCCTCCCACAGACTTCCCACAGAGGTGCCTTGATACAGCACTCTGGGAACAGCCTATTCGTTCAGAAATGTATTTCTGTGTCTTACACTCTTGCTCGGGGTGTCAATGATGGCCTTCTGGACAGCAGTCAGGTCAGCAGTCTAACCCATGATTGCAGTTTTGAGTAATGAACCAGGCTGGGAGATCTTAAAAGTCTCAGGATTTTTTTTTTGCAGGTGTTTAGAGGTACAGTAATTAGTTGATTCAGATGATTAGGTTAATAGCTCGATTAGAGAACCTTTTCATGATATGCTAATTTTTTGAGATAGGAATTTTGGGTTGTCCTGAGCTGTATGCCGAAATCATCAATATTAAAACAATAAAAGGCTTGAACTACTTCAGTTGTGTGCAATGAATCTAAGATTTATGAAAGTCTAATGTTTATCAGTACATTAAAGAAAATAATGAACTTTATCACAATGTGCTAATTTTTTGAGAAGGACCTGTATATAAATATTGGAGTCCTGATGACAGTTATAACAGTAATGCCGCATTCTTCTTTAAAAAAATTTTCCCCAGCTGATGTAAGATTAAAGTCATTTAAAAAGCCAACAAGATTGCATCAAGCTCTTGTTTAGAATATTGCAAAGACATTAATATAACGCATGACATTTGGAGAGAGAAAGCACAGGTAGTGAAAAAGGAAAAATCTTGCATGTATGTGTCAAATGTCAAGACAAATGGAGTACCCTTTAAAAGAGTGTGTCCGACTGCACATACATTAATGCACATTAAAAAAAAACAAAAAAACTTGGGACTGTAGAACAGATGAGAAAATATCAACTGCTCAAAGAGATGCTAGCACAGTTATTTGTATCGTTTAAAGAGTAAAAGGGCCTTTAGGTGCTGATTTACATACTCAAGACCTTTAGGCAGAAATCCCATTCTAAGAAAAAAAAAAAAACACTCAAAATTCTGACCTTTTAAAGTAAGTTTTACCAGTTCAAAACAAAATTATCAGGTACATTCTTGGCCACATTTCAACCATTCAAGCAAGTCAAGTGTTGATTAATCTCTCATTTCGCCCTTGACTTTCTCCCAGGGCCCCAAACTTCATAAGAACCAAAAATGTTTTTCCTCTGCAAGCAAAAGAGTAAACGTCCACATTGCCAAATTCCTCAGTGCTGTTTGTTGAGCTTTGCAGGACCAGTAACCAGGGTTACGGAATTCCGATCGCAAAACCGCTGGACCCAAGCCCAGCAAAACATATTTCCAGCACTTGCTAATCTGAGGAAGGGAAGAAGGAGAGAGGGAGAGAGAGAGGGAAAAAAAGAGACACATTCCAAAACAAATTAGATTTAGGATATTCCTATTCCCCCTATTTCTCAAAGCGACAGAGCACATGTCTCCCACTCAGAACCACTCCGTTGGTAATATATCAGCTTTTCCCTTCAGCACTTAATAACAGCCTTCGGCGATTTCCATGTGCAGGATCCCACATGGACGACATTAACATTCCATAAGCGTTCTTATGTCGAACGTGTGTGTGTTTGCGCTCCTTAAACCCTATGGCCTGGCATAGACCGTGCATTCTTGGGGTGAAACCTTACTAAATCATTACAGCGGTCTGTGATAGGCCACTAAACATGGGTGGAGACCTGAGACGAAGCTTGTGTGCTTGACGTCAACTTTACATCTCCGCTGTTAAAGGATATGGCCCAAGAGGACGTATCTGATCCCATCACATGTCCAAACAGCCTTTTCCCCAAAGTGCAAAGTGACGGAGACATAAAAGTATTTACATAAACTCCCATAACAACAGAGGCTATGAAAACAAGATCTTTTAATTCAACCCTTAAAACAAATGCTTCACAATCATGTCCGTGGGTTTACAAATATTCAGCGTTCATAAATATATTGATTGCAAAAGGCACAGCTAAACAGGAGAGTTACCATGTTTAAAGTGCTAAAGATATGATGAAGTCCATATGAAAGGCCTCTGGTAAAAGGAAACAGAGTGTGTGTGTGTGTGTGCGGTCATACCTTTACTAGTGCAATAAACATGAAGGTACAGTTGTTTGGCACTGCTTTTGGTGTCTTAAGAGCTGTGCTGGCGTAAAGGGTCTTCAATCAATCATCTTGCAGAAACTATGAGTCCCCTGCCAAAACACATCTAACTTCTCAGTCAGAAATGGACATATACGGCATGTGAATTTCGATACAGATCAAAATATTCTGGAGTCATTAACCGTTTTGAGGGTTGCCAGTCTTGCCCAGGTATTTGCAAACGGTGTTGGAGTTTTCCAGCTTCATGCTCTGAATGTGGGCGTCCAGCCTCTGAAGCAGCTCTTGAGAACGAAGAGTTTCCTCTTCCAGAAAGCGTGTGGTCACTGAGGTATTTGGAGATCCAGTGGAATCCTGGACAAAGATGGAAGAAATGACTGTTAAAGCTGTTGTGCAATGCTACTGTGTGTGTGTCTGTCATATATTCTTATAAAGCAATGTGCCAAACGTAACGCAATTCTGCAGCATTCATGTGTACATTTTCTGCATTCTTGGTCAAATTGCCTATTTAGTGAGACATTACGCGGTCAGTTAAGTAATTGTAAAGAGATTGCTGGGAATGGAGAGCAAGAATGTCAACGAACGAGAAAAGGTCTTAGGAATGTACCCTTTGTTCTTATGTTTGTTTTCATCCACTTCTACTAATAACTATTAATTATTCATTCATTTTCTTTTCAGTTTAGTCCCTTTATTAATCAGGGGTCACCACAGCGGAATGAACCGCCAACTTATCCAGCATATGATTTTCACAGTGGATGCCCAACCAGCAGCAACCCAACACTGGAAAACACCTATACACTCTTGCATTCACACACATACACTTCTGCCAGTTTAGCTTATTCAATTCACCTACAGCTCATTTCTTTGGACTGGGGGAAACCGGAGCACCCAGAGGAAACCCACGCCAACACGGGGAGACGATTTAAACTCCACACAGAAATGCCAACTGACCCAGCTGGTACTCAAACCAGCGACCATCTTGCTGTGAGGCGATCGTGCTACCCACTGCACCACCGTCACGCCCTTAACTAGTGATTAATAAAATATTATTCCTTTCATTCATTCATTTATTCATTTTCCTTTGGCTTAATCTCTATTTCAGAGGTTGCCACAGCAGAACGAACAGCCAACTGTTCCAGCATATGTTTTTACACAGCAGATGCTCTTCCAGCTGCAACCCAGCATTGGGAAACACCCACAAACACTCATTCACACACACACACACACACACACACACACTAAGGCCAATTTAGTTTATTCCATTACCTTAGAGCACATATCTTTGGATTGTGGGAGAAACCAAAGAACCCATAGGAAACCCACGCAAACACGGGGAGAACATGCAAACTCCACAGCGAAATGCTAACTGGCCCAGCTGGGACTCAAACCAGCAACCTTCTTGCTGTGAGGCGATCATGCTATCCACAGCACCAAAATGACGCCTTTAATTATTTATTAATAAAATAGTATTCCCTTTAGGTGTTATACCATTCATTCATTAATTTTTCTTCGGCTTAGTCTCAAATTTAGAGTTCGTCACAGCGGAATAAACTGCCAACTATTCCAGCATATGTTTTTACACAGCAGATGCCCTTAAAGTTGCAACTCAGCATTGGAAATAAACATATACACACTCATTTACACACACACACACTCATATACTACAGCCAATTTAGTTTAGTCAATACCCATATAGCACATGTTTTTGGATTGTGGGAGAACCCAAAGAACCCATAGGAAACCCGTGCAAACACGGGGAGAACATGCAAACCTACACGGAAATGCCAACTGGCCCAGTCGGGACTTGAACCAGCGACCTTCTTGCTGTGAGATATACCATAGGTTTTACAAACAAAATAAATCAAGCGTAATGATTAGAAATTATATTTTGACTTCAACAAATGTCATGATGTGAGTTCCTGATATGGTTACCTTTTTTACTTGTTTTTTCATTTATTTTACATATTTTTTTCAGCACATTAATTTAGCTTGTTTGCAAATAAGAATAAGCAGATGTGTTAAAATAAACTTCAAATAAACCTGACAATGAATTAAAAAAAAAGTCATGTCAGTATCCCTTTTTTCTCTACTACTCCTACTGACCAAAGGCATAAAGGTGTCTACCGAGCTGGAAGCTTGAGCCTCCTCTCCGTTGGCCACTGCACTGAGAAGAGTTGCCACTCTCTGGGCTTTACGGGTTGAAGATGAAGATGAGGCAGATGATGCAGAAGAGCGGGCTGGAGACACAGATGTCTTGCTCTCTTGTGATTGGCCATCTGGGCGATAAGGAGAAGTTCGCGACAAGTTCTCCAGCTGTGTGAGGAGTGTCTGGATTTGCTCCTCATAGTGCGAGGCTCTTTCCTGCATCTGAGTCTCCATGGCCTGCAGCTCCTCCTGGTGTCTGCGCTGCACATCCTCATCAGCTCTATGGCAAAACACAGCTGCATAAACCACTAATTTGCACTTACTCGTTTAATCTCTGATTTATCAGGGGTTGCCACAGAGGAATGAACCATCAATCATGCCCTTCCAGCTGCAAGCACTTACATACACTAAACATTCAATGTGTTGTCAAAGTAAGATTACAGAAAATTCATTTTATTCAGCTAGGACACATTCAATTGACCAAAAAAGACGTTCTTTTAAATTTTCTATTTGTTAAACAGTATTTTATTAAAATTATCAAGCACAATAATTGTTTTCAACTTCATCACTGGAAAAAAAAAAAAAAATAGAAAAGTAGAAAAGTACATTTTAATTGCAATAATATTACACATGATTGTATTTTACATTAAATAAATGCAGCCTTGGGGAGCTCTTAACTAAAACTCATACTCGTGTGTATTTTTACTCTGTCAAAGTTTTGCGTACCTGTTTTGCTCATTATACAAGTGGTTCTTGTTCTGATTTTGCAGCAATGCTCTCTCATATTTGTCCTGCCAGGTCTGATTGCTGGCCTCCATGCGAGCTCGTAGCTCAGTCATTTCTAGTCTTAGCTGCCTGTTCTCCTCTTCCAGACTTTTTAGAGAGGACACATAGCTGTCTCTGAGACTCGCCAGCTCTCCATCACCTCTCTGAAACAAATCGAATGAGAGCAATAACAAAGGGAAAAAATAAAGAGTGAAAGCTTACAAAACAGAAATATAAATACAAATCAAACACAATCTGTTTTGCATTCAAATAATTCCTAGTTTATAAAAAGTCTTTGAGGCAAGGTATTGTTAAGATGTTAAAATAACTGACTATTTCAATAAAGTCACACAAAGTTACAAAGCAATACATTTCACTTCTCAACAACAACAAAAATAAATGGTGTTAAAATTGTATCGGTAGCACTTTACAAAAAGATAATACATTTACTAACATACACAAACAATAAAAAATTATTCATTACAGTTGTTCATGTTAGTTACCATTATATAATTAAAATGGAGTTGTTTATTGTTCATTCAAGTTAACTATGGGTGCATTAACTAATGTTAACAAGCATGAATTTGGATTTGACCAGGCACTAGTAAATGCTGAACTATGATTAATAAATGCTGCTCAGATATTGTTCATAATTAGTTCATGTTAGTAAATGCATAACCTAATGAAGCCTTATTGTAAAGTGTGATCATATTATATTTGGTTCAAAGAGACTCAAAAAAAAGTGATTTTGCATACAAAGAGACCTAACTAAACTCAAGTAAAGTGTCTACTTTCATTTCTCAAATATGAGTTCTGAATAAATAAAGCGCAACAGCTACATTTGTGAAAATTAAGCAATATACTTTTTTAATTTGTACATATTAACATAAATAGATAACAAGTGATCACAGTGAATTTTATTAGATGTTAAATTATTTGTAAAAAATATATTGCCAACACTGGCAATTAGAAAAAATACAAAACTTTATTAAATGATTTGTGTTCTAAATACGTCTGACAATATATTTTGGTATATACAGCCATGAGAAAACACCCTATTGAATTACATGGTTTTCTGTATCAGGACTTAGGCATGGGACGATAACTAGTTTTAAGGTTTTAAAACAGCATTTTTTTGGTTACACTGTTCCTCAGCTATATGTACATGTATATGTTTTTTTTTTATGCGTTGTAAGAAATCTGTGTTTTGTGAACTAATGAACCTAGCAGAAGTCAATGATTTATTTGAATTATTTAGCCTGACATGTTTACTGTTCCAAAATATAAAAGTGGATTGTAAATTGAAAAATTAAAATTAAATATTGTATATTCTGTTTAGTGGGGGGGAAATTTGTTGTTTTCTACTAAGAAATTTAAAAAACACTTATTTTAGAGCAGTGATCACAATACGTGAAACTATGATATTTCTATCCAAGGTTATCATACCGACACAAACTTATTAGGCCCATCCATGCCTAATCAGGACATCATAAAAATTATTAGGTCCTAGGAGGGCCTCCTTGCAATTTAGAAAATAAAACCTCAAATAAATAACTACACTACAAATATTGCACAGAAATAAATCCATACTGGCAAAGTCATGGGTGACAAACTTAGAGGCACCCTATCTGTTAACATAGGGATTAAAGTACTTCTTATAAAATGTCTTTGATTATCTGACCATTAACAGGTGTGACCACCTTGATCAATGCAGACATTTTGGTCTGAAGCCATCAGGAGTGTGTGTTAACATTTTGACAAGCTAGTAAAAACTTTAGCATTGATCCTTGAGAAGCAACTGTTGCTGTCATCAGTCTGGAGGCTGCAATACAGCCATTTCCAAACCATCTGAAATCTATTACTTCACAGTTGGAAAGTTTATTCACAAGAAGCATTCGCTGGAATATCACTTATTCAACAGGAAACATTCAAAACTGACACCAATATTCCCAGGAACAGACATTCCAGCAAATTCACCCCAAGATCAGACCTTGTAACGCCCAAAGAAATAGCAGAAAACTAAAGAACTTTACCACAGACTCTACAGGCCTCATTAAACAGGTGAAATGATAAAGTTAATTACAGTACAATTAAAAAAAAAGATGGGACAAGTATGGCATGTTTGTACGGGTTGCCAGAAGCCTTGACTCTACATAGACTAAAAAACATGTCAGCACATTCGCAAGGTTTAAAAAACACTGTGCGGACCATAAGACTTCTAGAACAACAAAATCATCCAAGGTGTTGCAATAGCCCAGTCAAAGTCCAGACCTCGTCCTTACTAAACTGCTGTGCTGAAAGCTGTGCAAAATAAATGCCCACATACCTCAAGAAATTAGAACAACATTGTAAAAAAGAGTGGGACAAAACTTATTTTGAAGAACCTGGAAGATAAATAAGTCATGAACAAATGTTATTACTTTAAATGATTGCTGTTAAAGTGGATCTACCAGAAACAAAATCACACAGTGTCCCATGGCTTCTTAATCTTTATTTATTTATCAATAATGTTAAATGTGGTATTGTTGTTTATGTAAGGTTATATTTTACAAATTTATGTTTTATTTTCCAGATAATGTTTTATTATGTCCTGATAAGTAATATCATGGAATAAACGTTTAATATGACTCTAAATTATCATTACACTGAATAACATTGTACTGTATTTCATGGTAATGTATTAAAGGTGCAGTAGATGATGTCTTCAGAAACATTTTTGTTGTGCTGGTTGAAAGTCTCTTCACATTCCACTAGTAATGATTAAAGTAAATGATCTAAATGTATTTATATGTAATTTTATATTCTGGGTAAGGCATACAACTAAAAAATGTTTATCCAATTAAAGGTTTTGTAGATCAGCCGTTTGCTTGGCGTGCCATGTTCACGTGCACACAAGAGAGAGAGAGAAAGAGAGAGAGTGGCAAAAACAAACGCTGAATTTTAACTTTTTAAAATCCTGAATCAATTTTGTAGCTACTTTTGCACGCTGGAGGAAGGATGATACCATGGGTAAAATATATAGTTTTTTTTAGACAGGTAATGTTATGTTTTAAAAGTATTTTAGTCGCGCAAAGCGTATGTAGATTGTGTTGTGTTACGAATGGATTATATGCATAAAAGTGTTGTTCAGTTAGTGAAATCTCCTGGCGAAAGATTGATGTGACTATTTTCAATTTCATAAAGGACCTTTTACAGCATCAATAATTTAGATTTTTATTTAGTTTTACAACAAAAGTAAACAGCCTGCTTTACTGAGGTGAAGTTGGTTTTATATTTACATTGGTTCATTTTTGAACAATGACAACTTCTGACGCGCTCCATATATTGTTAACCATGCTACTTTGAATGTTCGGTCTGAAATAGCATGTAAGTATGGCTTAGTAATAAGTGTAATTTATGCACACCGCTGGCCAAGTACAAAAGCATACAGTAGTCGTTTTAGGACAAAGCATGTGAGAGAGATAGAAATGTTTCGCTTGTTACACAACTGAAAACATGCTGGATATAATACAGTTTTTCGTTTAGAGTTGTATTATTATAAAGTACCATAAAGTTTTCTAACTGAAATGACATGAATGACATGATCAAGTGGATCTCGGTCAAATTTAATGTGCATGTTCATGGTATCAGGAGGGATTTTGGACAGCAGGGGAGGGACTGTGTTTCAAACATATTATGCTAATTGGTTAGCATTTAGGCAGATCACCTACTGCATCTTTAAATACATGATAGACTTTTCTATTTTCTCTATTTCCTTATTTTTCTTAGAATTAAATGGAACAAATTCTAATATATAGAAAAACTACATTTTAATGATAAGCTTTTTGACTTTGACCCATATCTAATAATTACTATGCAAAGAATCAAAACCTTAGGTGACTGTGACTCGACTCTCTCCAGAAGATCATTCAGATGCTGATTCTCAAGCTTTAAGGTTTCTAGCTGGACCTGTGTCACCTACAGAGCCAAGAAAAGAGAACAACCAGTTTACGCACAATATTAAACCAATAATTCCAAACAATTAAAAACAGATCTACTATTTTATTTTCATGAACGACAAGTTTTTTCTGTATTTGGTGTTACTTATTGTCATCTGCCTAATCTAAAGCCGTTTAAAGTGTGTTTTGGTGAACCTTAAGTTCTGATGCCCTTCGCTCTGCTCTCTCCACTTCTGCTCGTAACTGTCTCTCAATGCTGGAGGTGGAGCCAGTGAGTGTGGCAATGGTGATGTCACGCTGATGAAGTTCACTAGTTAACTGAAAAACTTCCTTTCTCATTCCCTCCTGCTCACCACAGCGGGTCTGTTCGGCCCTCTCAAGCTCATCACGCAACTGCAGAAAACACAACAACGCAAAAAGTTAAAGCGATAGTTCACCCTAAAATGTAAATTCTATCAACACTTACTTCACATGTTCCAGACTTATTTGAGATATGTTCTTATATTAAACACAAAAGAAGATGTTTGGAAGAATGCTGATAGTCACTAGCTGGGTGTCCATCACCCTGTAATAATGCACATTTTGAAATATCAAATCAAAAATGTGAAATTTTGAATAAACCCACGTGATTAATCGGCTGTCTCCATTATGCTTACATTGTTGAATGTTGGTTACTAAGTTACCAATACTATAGTCAACAGCTCTGACAACTAGATGTTAAAGTCCGCGTGAAACAGAATTCTGTGACTTTTATTTCAGCATGTTAATATCCTTTAAACTGATACCAAACATTAAGTTGGGGGTGGGGCTTTCTTTTTGCACATCATAACCTCACATGAAACTAAAGGTAAGAGGGGTGTGATTAAGAATATTATGGCTGAATCCATTAAACTGATGTCAACTGAAATCATTCCAAATGTGTGAAGCAAATAGTCAGAGTTTAATTAAAGATTTCCAAAATGCATAAACTTATTCACCTAAAGAATATCAATGACTTTGTTTACATGGACATGAGTCAAATTATTTGCCTTAATCTGAATAAGACAACAATATGATTAAGTTGTTTACATGAGTTGCTTTTTGAATGTTCCTTTCATAATCATATTTAACATATTATAGCATATAATTCGATTAATGTCATCGCGTCACCACACTGCACATTTCCTTTGGTGTTTCATTTATCATTGGGTGTTTTATTTTTAAGTTGTCAACTTTAACTGGAGTTTGGCCCTTTCATTTTCATTCAGAAATATTTTTTGAGCATTCCCCTATGACAAATGAGATACTGGATGCAAGTTTGAACTGCTGGAAGAGTGTTGTTTGTAATGGAATTTCATGTTTGAGAAAAAAACTTTGAGCGCGTGAACTTTGTAACAACATTCATTGTGTGTGACTCATTGATACTTATTGGTAAAGTTCTTACAGTAGTATCTCACAATGCAGGTGTCTGTGGTCCTTCACTAACTCAGTAGGTGCAGAGAATAGTGTCAAACAGCCAAGTATATATAGACTATCCTAGCACAAAATGCAACGAAAATCCTACATGATGGTAATTGTTCAATTAAGGTGTTTACATGTCTCTACTGCACTTCAATAATGCAACTAAAATCGGATGTCTTAATTCGATTTCTGTTTGGTTCAATTATGAACTTAATCAGATAAAATTAATCAAAAATCGCTGTTGACATGGTAAATTCTTAATCAGAGTATTGTCTTAATCATATTAAAATCTGATTATTGGTGTCCATGTAAACGTACTCAATGTGTGCTAGCAAAATAAACATTTTATATTTAGATTTCATATTTTTAAAGAGGCTAACTTAACTTATCGCAACTTATCTGAAGACGGGGGAGGGATGCGGTGAAGAGGAGTGCACGATATATTTGAGAACCAAGGGGAGACCATCGATTTCCGGGAGATTATAATTCATTTGCGGGCATCTGGGAACCTCTATGCATATTTTTCAAAACATTTCTAAACATAATAGTTTTAATTACTTATCTCTCATAACTGATTTATTTTATCTTTGCCATGATGACAGTAAATAATATTTTACTAACTGTTTTTCAAGACCCTTCTATACAGCTTAACATGACATTTAAAGGCTTAACTAGGTAATTAGGTTAACTAGGCAGGTTAGGATAATTAGGAAAGTTATTGTATAATGATGGTTTGTTCTGTAGACTAACGGGAAAAAAATATATAGCTTAAAGGGGCTAATAATGTTGACCTTAAAATGGCTTTTTAAAAAATTAAAAGCTACTTTTATTCTAGCCAAAATATAACAAATAAGACTTTCTTCAGAAGAAAAAATATTATCACATATTTTATACATAATGTGAACATCTCCTTGCTCTGTTAAACATAATTTGAGAAATATTTAAAAAAGAAAAAAATTCTAAGGGGGGCTAATAACTGACTTCAACTGTACGTGTCAAGGACTACTAGTTTTAAACATTCTTTATAACATCTTCTTTTGTGATCAATAAAAAAAAAAATCATAAATGTTGGAAACAACTTGTAGGTGGGTAAATGTTTATATGTGGGAGAACAATCCCTTTAAATGAAACCAAATTTAATTGTCAGCAATTTGTACACATTAATTAATCTTTTCTCACAATCTCTCACTGTGAATGACACAGCATAGTGTCTGCAAATAAAAACCTCAAACATTATTGCTTATTAAGCGTACACGTTTGTTTTCAGCTGTACAGCGACTGTGTTCCTCCTCCATCTGTTTCCACTCATGTTCTCGCCTGCTCATCTCTGCTTTATACTTCCGCATGCTCTCCAACCTGACAAACCAACATGGAGATCAATGTTTATTTTTTAGAAGAAGGTTGTAATCATTAGTTGATGATACTTTGTCAAGTATAGACTTTTTAAAAACATCTCACTTGTCACGAAGTCTCATGACTTCAGCCTTCAGGTGGCTCTCACAGGTCTGGGAACTGTTCAGCCTTGCTGTGACTTTCTCCAGATCTTGTCTAAGGGAAGCCAAGTTTGGAGCAGAACCAGGTGATGACAGACATTCCTCTAGAGACCTTAACAAAGAGATGAAATATTATTTGTAAAGCTGTATACTGAGCTTGAAACTTTCATGGACAGTTGTTAAATGATGAATGTAAAGATATATATTTCAGTGTGTGTAAACAACATTTAAACTCCGATGTACCTAATGACTTGCTCTTTGGCTTGCAGGGTTTGGTTGAGTCGGTTCACTTCTCGCCGTAACTGCTGCTGCTGGACTCCCGTGCTGCGTACAAACTGATCCTGAGCATCCAGTGTGGCTTTCAGCTCCTCTCGCTCTTCACTCAGAACCTAAAGAGAATATCTTTACTGTTATTTAACCTATTGCATTTTTGATATATATATATATATATATATATATATATATATAGTAGGTAATAATTTGCTTGTATGCTTTACCACCAAAGAAATGCTTAAGCTATTAAATCGGTATCGAATGTTGCCTTCAAGTCATGATGGAATGATCATTATTTACGAGGTGAGTTTTATGACCTTTTCAAAATAGAAACAGTATAGAAAAAGTGCCATAAAAGTATTTAAAGAAGTGATGCAAACAAGTTGTTCACTTTATTACTGAAGCCATATGTTGTGTGAAATACATTCCAAAATGTAGGATTCCCCCTCCAATGAATTGAGACTGAATCACTAAACCAGTAAGGTGAACTCAAGAACTAAACTAGCTGATGCTTGAATAATCATTCAACAATATAGTTAAAGTCAGAATTATTACCCCCACTGAATTATTAGCCTCCGTTCATTTTTTCCCACAATTTCTGTTTAACGGAGAGAAGATTTTTTTCAACACATTTCTAAACATAATAGTTTTATTAACTCATTACTAATAATTGATTTATTTTATCTTTCTCATGATGACAGTAAATAATATTTTACTAGATGTTTTTCAAGACACTTTTATATAGCTTAAAGTGACATTTAAAGACTTAACTAGGTTAACTAGGTTAAATAGGCAGGTTAAAGTAATTAGGCAAGTTATTGTTTAATGATGAATTGTTCTGTAGATTATCGGAAAAAAAAATTGCTTTAAGGGGCTAATAATTTAGATCTTAAAATGGTTTTTTTAAAAATGTAAAAACTTCTTTTATTCTAGCCAAAATGAAACAAATAAGACTTTTTCTAGAAGAACAAATATTATGAGACATACTGTGAAAATTTCCTTGCTCTGTTAAACATCATTTGGGAAATATTTAAAAAAGAAAAAATAATAATAATCAAAGGGGAGTTAACAATTCCGACTTGAACTGTATGTGTGTGTATGTATGCATGTATGTATGTATGTATGTATGTATGTATGTATGTATGTATGTATGTATGTATGTATGTATGTATGTATGTATGTATGTATGTATGCATGCATGTATGTATGCATGCATGCATGTATATATATATATATATATATATATATATATATATATATATATATATATATATATATATATATATATATATATATATTTTTTTTTTTTTTTTTTATATATTTATTTATTACAATGTTTTTAAAGTTTATGGCTTCATAAGATGCAGCAATATAATATCCAAAACCAGTAGTTTAATCTAAAGTCAGATCCAAACAATTGACATGATCACTTTCTATGATGTAATTAAGCTTATTAAAATATTTAACTAAGGTTTTTTAATGCACATGTACATAAAACAGACTTTTCTGGTTCTCATCACAGTTTTACCCATAAACACTGAACATATTCCATGAGTTGGGCAAGACAAGCAATAAACAATAACATTCTGATGTATTGCAGGTGACCAGAATGATGGACAATATTGGCAAACGTTCAGTAAACTATTGGGAAAATTTGCTACATTCTCTACAATTAATTAACTTGTAAACAATTTATGTAGTTGCATTTAATCATCTTTGATTGTTTGCAGTAAATAAATAAGAATGAATCAAAGACTTTCATTTGCCTTCTATTTTAGTCATTTAACTTTTTTTCATGTTTTGAAACATTTAGAAAAGCCTAAATAAAAACTCAAGTCTCCATGTCTCATTTTGGAAATTTTTGATAAAAATTATGAGAGAATGTTAAAAAATTGCTTAATTTGTTTCAAATCAGGGTAAAAAAAAAAGATTACCAATATTTAATTGTGGGATACCTGTCCCATTAAGCTCCACTTAACACAAACGAAGATTTTATGGAAAATGCTGATATTCAGAAATGTTTGGTCTACACTGTGTTCCATCGTGAAGAACCACTTGCAGCACATACTGCCGGAAAAATAAAATCAAAAGCAATGTTATCGCCCCCTAGTGGCTAGCTTCAGTATATGTAACACACCGCTCTCCTTACAAACAAGTGGGATGTAAACCAAACTAAAATCATTATCTAAAGACGGTTTCCGTCAGCTTTAATGACACTGATTTAACTTCTGTTGTTTTATTTTTAGCGTTTTAAGATTTAATGAGATTTAGTCAGTTTATTAGACATGAATTAATGTCATAATTGTGAGCTTATGATTAGATCTATGGGAGTTTAAGTGACCGCTACTTCAGCTCATGAACACTGTGCAAGACAACAGCATCTACATCAAGGATATTTTGGCTTCATTTTTATCAGTGAAAGAATGAGGATTTTCATCTTACTTCACAGTCTCTCCAGAAAAATATGAAGACATCATCTTCCTCTTGCTACTCAAACTACTCTTGAAGAACTATGTTCTACAGGCCATCTCTACATCTACTCTTCATGTGCTTCTGGATCTACCTGTCCCCGTCTGTGAGCTGCAGCGTGGCAGCTGACCTGCTGTTCCTTGATGGAGTCTCCCAGCTCATCCTGGAGCAGCCGAAGTCTCTCCAGCTCCAGTTCTTGTGCATGCAGACTGTCCTGAGCCCTCTGAAGTTGAGAACGTAGCCGCTGCAGTTCCCCCTGGCCCTGCTCCTGCGGCCGACCTACACCCTGAGACTGGGACAAATGCACACATTTGACGATAAAAATTAAATATTAAAAAAATTTAAAGAAAAATGTCAAATTGTTCTAAATGTAACTTTTCTCATTTTATCTAATTATAACTTTTTTCAATCATTCATTTTCTTTTCGGCTTAGTCCCTTTATTAATCCGGGGTCGCCAAAGCGGAATAAACCGCCAGCTTATCCAGCACGTTTTTTTACACAGCGGATGCCCTTCCAGCCGCAACCCATCTCTGGGAAACATCCAAACACACATTCACATTTATAAACTATGGACAATTTAGCCTACCCAATTCACCTGTAACACATGACTGTGGGGGAAACCGGAGCACCCGGAGGAAACCCATGCAAACACAGGGAGAGCATGCAAACTCCACACAGAAACGTCAACTGACCCAAGCTCGAACCAGCGACTTTCTTGCTGTGAGGTGACAGAGCTACCTACTGCGCCACAAACTCATTAATATCAAAGCTTAATATTTTTGGAGGTAGTTTTTAGTTTTTTTTTAGTTTTAGCTATTTTAGGGGGATATCTGTGTGTTCAGGTGACTATTACTGTGCATAATTATTAGGCAATTTAACAAAAAACAAATATATACCCATTTCAATTATTTATTTTTACCAGTGAAACCAATATAACATCTCCACATTCACAAATATACATTTTTGACATTCAAAAACAAAGCAAAAACTAATCAGTGACCAATATAGCCACCTTTCTTTGCAAGGACACTCAAAAGCCTGCCATCCATGAATTCTGTCAGTGTTCTGATCTGTTCACCATCAACATTGCGTGCAGCAACAACCACAGCCTCCCAGACACTGTTTAGAGAGGTGTACTGTTTTCCCTCTTTGTAAATCTCACATTTGATGATGGACCACAGGTTCTTAATGGGGTTTAGTTCAGGTGAACAAGGAGGCCATGTCATTAGTTTTTCTTCTTTAATACCCTTTCTCGCCAGCCACGCTGTGGAGTACTTGGACGCGTGTGATGGAGCATTGTCCTGCATGAAAGTCATGTTTTTTTTGAAGGATGCAGACTTCTTCCTGTACCACTGCTTGAAGAAGGTGTCTTCCAGAAACTGGCAGTAGGACTGGGAGTTTGAGCTTGACTCCATCCTCAACCCGAAAAGGCCCCACAAGCTCATCTTTGATGATACCAGCCCAAACCAGTACTCCACCTCCACCTTGCTGGCGTCTGAGTCGGACTGGAGCTCTCTGCCCTTTACCAATCCAGCCACGGGCCCATCCATCTGGCCCATCATGACTCACTCTCATTTCATCAGTCCACAAAACCTTAGAAAAATCAGTCTTGAGATAATTCTTGGCCCAGTCTTGACGTTTCAGCTTGTGTGTCTTGTTCAGTGGTGGTCGTCTTTCAGCCTCTCTTACCTTGGCCAAATATATATGGCCAAACTGGTGGCAAGTGGCATGTTGGCAGCTGCACGCTTGACTTTTCTCAGTTCATGGGCAGTTAATTAGCACCTTGGTTTTTCCACACGCTTCTTGCGACCATGTTGACTATTTTGAATGAAATGCTTGATTGTTCGATGATCACGCTTCAGAAGCTATGCAATTTTAAGAGTACTGCATCCCTCTGCAAGATATCTCACTATTTTTGACTTTTCAGAGCCTGTCAAGTCCTTCTTTTGACCCATTTTGCCAATGAAAGGAAGTTGCCTAATAATTATGCACACCTGATATATGGTGTTGATGTCATTAGACCACACCCCTTCTCATTACAGAGATGCACATCACCTAATATTCTAAATTGGTAGTAGGCTTTCGAGCCTATACAGCTTAGAGTAAGACATGAAGAGGATGATGTGGTCAAAATACTCATTTGCCTAATAATTCGGCACTCCCTGTATATTTCCTTTAAAGATCCTCCAGATATTTCCCAATACAGGGTTGCAGCTGGAAAGGCATTCGCTGCATAATATATATATATATATATATATATATGTCGGAATAACGGAACCGCCAAGGTTCCACTGTGGCGACCCCTGATTAATTAAGGACGAAGGAAAATTAATGAATGACTTTCTAGAGTAGGGCTGCAACTAACGATTATTTTAATAATTGAACAATCTGTAGATTATTATTTTTTTATTTTTTTCAATTGATCGATTAATCGGATAAAAAAAAAAAAGAGCAGTCATGTCTAACCCTTTATTTAAAAAATAAAATCCCTGGGCTGTTTTAATAACAGTAGTAATAATAATAATAAAATGAAAAATAGTTTTGTCCTGTTTTCAATCCAAATATTTAAATGTTTTTAAATTAAGATACATACTGGACACATGAAATAACATAAAAAAGCACTTAATCTCAAAATTAAGTGATTGTTTGCTTAAAACAACCAAATTTATTTGCCAATAAGGTAAGAAAATTTTTCTTAAGATATTATCTTAAACAGAAGTTAAGCATCACTTCATTTTCTCATGCCATTTTTCTTTTCTGGTCTTGATGTAAGATTTTTAGATATTTAAACTGGAAACGAGACAAAATTACTAAGAAAGAAAAGTTTTCTGCAGTGCAGCTATACATGACAACAGAGGGAAAAATGAAGGATCCAAAAGGCAAGTAAATAAAAACATGTCTTTAGTCTTGCAATGCAAAGTAACTCTACCACTGCTGCTTTGCTACTGTTATTAACTCTTTCACTGCTGAGTTTAAAAGATTATATCTGGCCTGGTAGTCAGTTTTTTTTTAGAACATTCACCCTAAATGTTTCCGTTGCGACGCATCATACTTTTCAAGTGACACACCGCAGCCACAACAGTGATGCATGACAGATGTATCCCCTTTTATTTCGTTTTTATCTGTTGATATTCAGCATATTCACACGCTTCCTCAAGTCATCAACTACCACCTGATATTCTAATTCACATAAACTTGTAAGTGATCATGATCTATAACATGAGATGGACTTCACCATGTTTACTTGCAGCCGCTGCCTCATTCATAAAAAGCAGAACACGCAGAATTTAGCAGGTACATTAAGTTACTCCCAAAATACATGCAAGAAAGTGGCTGATGAACTTAGAGAAGCATATATTCAACTTTAGAGTTACTTTCACTATGTGTAATATGTATCTGATATAAATAAACCACATCAGCAAATTATATTTGAATGGATTGTTAGACTCTCGTGTGTTTTACAAACACAAAGTATTGTTTTACTAGCACTTGGGTGTTTATGTATAACATAAATGAAGTATTAGGTGGTTAAAACGCTGCATAATTGTGATAATATGACACGTCTTGCTCGAGCGAAAAAAAAAGAAAAAGATAGCTGTAAAACATAACCTGCTTTGTCTTTTTGTAGGGAACACAGTTTTGATCTTTTTAGGGTAAGAGGTTTTTGAGTTAATGCCGTCTATCACTGAATGTCCCATAAATACCGAAAACAAAACCTACGTAACCCCGCTGTCTTTATCTGGTTCAGCACCAGACACAAACACCAGCACTGGGGACTTTACAGTTCTCACTTCAAATGGAACAAAAGTAGGATTCTGTAATGATTCTTCCGCATCATCCTTGTCTTTGAGGCACTGAACTCTGTATCAGTGTGCGAGAGACGGAGAGAGGCCGTGTTCACTCCGCTCTGCACTGAGCTAAAGTGTTCTTTTTTATCAAACGTCTCCATGTCGTGCGACACAACGAATCGATAATGAAACTCGTTGCCAACGCTTTTATTGATAGATTTTTATCGATTTAATCGATTCGTTGTTGCAGCCCTACTCCAGATAAAAATTATGGTCTAATAACATTAAAAATAGAGCATTCTTAAAGAATATGTTTAACAATTTAACACTATTTGCTGTTGCAATTTTAGCAAGTTAAAGGAACTTCTAGTTTTAGTAAGTCTTGTGCGTCAAATACAGCATTGTGTGGAAACAACATGATCATGTCTTGAGTTAAAAGAGTAGCTAGATTTTCTTCCCAATAAGGGTTGGATTTTAAAAAGTTTCTTTTTGGAGCACTGATCCCATTCTGCTTGCTATTTATTTGTAATATAGCTTGTTATTAGTGGCTTTAAGTCTAAAGTGGAATTTGAGAGAAAACACAGTGAACTAAAAATATATATGCATGTGTTTTGACACTAATGTCATGTTAAAAATACCAAGTGTAGCATTTTTAATGACGATTAAAAATAAAAAACAATGCCAAATGTTTTTCTCACTCAGTTTTCACTGATATGGATTATTTGTTATTATAAGTGATTTATTTTGGTTCCTTTGAATGGAGGTTCCTTAAATGTCAGGTGTGGAAAGAGGTGAACATGCCACATGTTTACTTGCTCTAAATTCCTGAGTTAAATGCTTGACTCAGTTATTTTAAAAAAAAAGCATAAACCACTATTAGGTTTGATAAGTTATATTAAGTCTACCTGGATGAGGGAAAATTGTTCAGCCAGGGTCTTCCTCTGTTCCTCCAATAAGGACACTTGTCTCTGATACTGTAATCTCTGCTGTTCCCACTCTGCAGAACGCTGCCGAAACTCCTGCATTCAGACAAATAAATGATCAATGAACTATACTCAAATTATTAAATGAATCTAACATACAGTGCTCAACATAAATGAGTACACTCCATTTTGAATTAATATTTTTAACAATTATTAAGTGATCATAGGTAATATATTTTGGTGCATTTGAACAAAACAGATTTTTTTTAATGGATGTATTTATTAAAATTATATTTTATTCACAGAACATCCTTAGAAATAAAAAGATAATACATTTAAATGCATGCAAAATATTGAGAAAAAAATACAAGCTACAACATTTCAACTCATTTATTATATGTTTTAGTTTCTCTTGAATTGTAATATATTTTTTTTTAATATTTAATATTTTTCCCTAACCTAAAAATTTGAATGTACTGATTTTAGGTCGTTGACGCAAGTTATTTTGTTAGATAAGTTCCAGTTTCAGTCCTGACTAATTTAATGTATATGCACAAATATAATGTTGTAAAGTTTCCCATTACTGGGTTGTGGCTGGAAGGGTGCCTGCTCCATAAAACATATGCTGGAATCGGGGGTTCATTCTGCTGTGGGGACCCCTGACAAATAAGGGACTAACCCGAAGGAAAATGGATGAATGTAATATTGTAAAACTTCCTTTAAAAAATATAAATTTAAATCAGAGATTTGTAAGAGGTGTACTAATATATGTTGAGCATTGTATAAATGAAGCCAAACTTTGTACCTCAATCTTGCTGTTGAGACGGGACAGCTCCGTCCTGTCCTCTTCTCTGCTCAGAGCTCCATCACGTGACTCCTTCAGATGCTTACGCTGTAGCTTTTCATAGCTGCGCTTCAATTTAGACAGCTGTTGAAAGGAGTTACTGTTAACTATATTACAGCTTAAAAAAAATAAAACTTATAGTGACTCGGGTCATAGAGTGAGTTTGAGATTAGTACAGTGAACGCAAAAATAACAATAAAGCTGATCTTACTTCTTCTTTTACATGCAGCAGCTGTTCTTCATACTTCACAACCAGCTCTTGTTTTCCAGCGTGCAACTCCTCTAGCTGTTTTCCCAGCACTCGAATCTACAGAACGTAAAATTAGGTTTGTGAGGCAGTGTGAGTAACTGCTGCTCAAACATGACGCCAAGTGGAATATGATCATCTTACAACTTAACCAGTGAGGCCAGTGATTTAAGTTCGATTTATTATTATTCTTGTGAAAGAAATGCATAAAAGAAAAGGAAAGCCAAAATACATACAGTACATTTATAGAATAATATATTTGCTTTGTTGTAACTCTAGATGCATTAATGACATTAATTGCTGTTTAGATTAGTTTCTCTTTTGCAATCAGATTTGTTTCTTTATCTCCATTATGAGGCTGAATATAATTCAGTCCTAAAAATATGGGAATGTCAGGGCAATTCCATGGTCAAACAGTGGTTTCAGTGAGTGAAAACCAAATGTTCATCACTTTAGGGAAGATACTTTCAGTTTTTGGAGAAGAATACCGGAACAGACACTGTTGTAACCACAAAAGTATCACGTTTCCCTCTTTCCGAATATTTGCATACAATTCTGTGAGTGCTCTTTTTTTGCCAGAAGCTAGTTTTTTTCTAAATTCTTATAAACTAGTTAATGACGCAAAGTAAATGTGGCTCAACTTGACCATCTTATTCAACTTTAGGCACTCAGAAAGGTTTTCATATGCAAATTTTTTTGATGCCAGAAAACAAGCTGCATCTGGAAAATATTTACAGCGAGCCTCCTGAGCTGAGGTTGTAAATTAGTAGATTGAAAACACTAATTTGGTCCCTGGAACAGACAATAGTGAGCTTGGTTTGCTTCACATTCTGATGCTGAGTCTGTATTAAAGCTGGAATTTCAGAACAACAACATAACTGACATTTTTCACAAATTAAACTTCTTAAGTTTTTAAAGAACATCATCGATAAATAATTTGATTGTTTTATGTGTCAGTAGCATTTTAACATTATTCAATTACAAATGTTTCCTAGATTGATGCGTTGGCGCAGTAGGTAGTGTTGTTGCCTCACAGCAAGAAGGTCACTAGTTCAAGCCCCGGCTGGATCAGTTGGCATTTCTGTGGGGAGTTTGCATGTTCTCCCCACATTTGCATGTGTTTCCCCCACAAGTTCAGACATGTAGTAAAGGTGAATTGGTTAAGCTAAAATTTTCTGTATTGCGTGAATTAGATAGGGTGCAGCTGAAAGTGCATCCGCTGTGTAAAAGATTTGCTGGATAAGTTGGCGGTTTATTCCACTGTGGCAACCCCAGATTAACAAAGGGACTAAGCCAAAAAGAAAATGAATGAATAAATGTTTCCTAAATTGTTCTGTGCCTGTCTAACTATGTTGATGTACGTTTTAAATATAAACATAAAACGTTTGCATAAAAAAAGTCTCTAAATTGATACATAAAGTTAAGGAGATAGCCAGCATCTATGCGCTCTGATTTTCACAGTGCATTGTGGGACTTTTCACTAAGCGAAAGTTTCAGTGCACTGGAAGAATTGCGAATTGCGATTGAGACAGTGCTTAAAATGCCTGACACTTTGATCAGTGTTCTGACTCCTGAACAAGGGAGCTGATTAAGACGTACCCTGTGATCAGCTAATTGGAGATGATTTGCAAAGGTACACAATAATCCAACAGTTATCAGTGCATGTCAGAGCACAAACTAAGCCATGAATTCAAGGAATTTTCTGTACACCTCGGTGAAACAGGACCCAAGACAGATCTGGGGAATAGTGATAGGAATTGTAGCTTTTTTCCTAGATTTGGGTCTTTTTACTCTTAAAATAGTTGGCTCTTATGGCTACCAAATTGTTCTTTGTTTAGTATCACTCAGAACCTTCTATTTCAGCCCAGCTCAGCAATTGCAAATGAATTTGTGTGTTAAAAAACTAACTCTATTTAGTATGTTAATCAAAGCCTTATTTTATTTAGCTTTTTTCATTACAAAAAAGCATCCGTCCGCTATGGAATGATTTTAGTTTTTCCTTGCATGTGTTCCCAACCAAATAATTTCTAACTGCATCTGAAAATGTGGCTATCGCTGTGGGGAGTTGATTTGATACAAAAATATAAGCTCTTAGAGCCAGCTCATGAAACATTACTAAGAGAAAAAGATAGCAAACAAATTAGGGCCGCTCGATTTTGGGAAAAATCATAATCACAATTATTTTGGTCATAATTGTAATCACGATTATTTAAAACGATTATCAGTTGAAGTCAAAATTATAAGCGCTCCTGAGAATTTTTTTTTAAATAAATATTTCCCAAATCATGTTTAACAGAGCAAGGAATTTTAACAGCATTTTCTTTAATATTTTTTTTTCTTCTGGAGAAAGGCTTATTTGTTTTGTTTTTTATTTCGGCTAGAATGAAATCAGTTTTAAATATTTTTAAACCCATTTTAAGGTCAATATTATTAGCCCCCTTAAGCAATAAATATTTTGTGATTGTCTGCAGAAGAATCTACTGTTATACAATGACTTGCCTAATTACCCTAATTAAGTCTTTGAATCGCACTTTGAATCTGAATGCTTGTATTTTGAAAATAGTCTAATATTATGTGCTGTCATCATAGCAAAGACGAAAGAAATGAGTTATTAGAAATTAGTTGTTAAAACTATTATGTTCAGAAATAAGTTGAAAAAAAATATTTCCATGGAACAGAAATTGTGGAGGAAAAGTGTTGCTAATATTCAGGAGGGCTAATAACTCTGACTTTAACTGCATATATACAGATATTTTCTACCCTGCAAAGGAAAGAGAAATAAATATAATAAAATAAAAATATGAAACAAACTGTGCTTTAAGCATCTTCACTGTAAGAAAAACACTTTAGCCACAAAAGTCCTTTAGTCAAAAGCACTGAGGGATTTTCTCGTTTTGTTGTTTGATTAATGATGATAAAAACAGGCGGTAGCAGGAACATCATGCACTTTAATGGTTTCTCTTTCACGTGTTTTGATTCTTAACTTGTATGTTTATAACACAAATGAGGGTTAATATGAATAATCACTAAACACTGTGTTTTGACACCTATTTGATCATTAAAGCACTCACATTAAGATGACTTTAGATGTGTGCGCTGACTGCGCTCTGCTCGTCTCAGTGTGCAAATGAGACTGAATGCTGATCGCATGCTTGTGTGTGTGCGCCGCACGCACACACACACATAAGCACGCGGTCTTTTGCGCTGCTAAGTTAATAATCATTTATCTCGATTAATGGTTTTTCATAATCGTTAGAAGCTAAAATCGAAATCGGATTTTCGATTAATTGCACAGCCCTAAAACAAATGCCAAAGTCCCAATAAGCACAAAGGCCTCCAATAACTGCAAATGGAGAAAGAACCACCAGCACTCATCCTAGAGCGTGCAATCTACCAAACAGCAATCAAAAGGCAAAAGCCTTATACTCAGAGACGTGAGTAAGGACTCTCAGACCATGGGAAACTGGTCTGATGAAACAAAGATTGAACTCTTTGTCTGGAGGAAACCATGCACTCTGTCTGGAGGAACACTTGCCCTACACCATCTATACAGTGAAGTATAGTGCTGGTGCAAAGTCAATCATGATGTGAATCAGGACATGGGGATGTCTTCATATGGTAGGAACTGGAGACAAATTTGAGAGAAAGATGAAAGCAGTAATATACAATCACCTCCTTGGTGAAAAACTGTTGCAGAGTGCTCAGAACCATTGACGCGAGGGCTGATGGTTGATCTGTCAACAGGACAACAACCCTGAGTATACAATCAAGATAACAAAAGTGTGTCTATGGGACAACTTTGTGAATATCCTTACATGACCAAGACCGAGCCCAGACATCTCTAGAGAGATCTTAATATGACTGTATTTTTTTTAAAGCTAAAAGTACTCAAATCTGTCAGCTTGCACATCATGTAATCCACATTTACATTATTATCATAGAATAGATGATGATTATTACACAGACAGAATCATGCCCACACACATCTATTTAATATAATATTATGTTGATTTTAGGTATTTGCATTTTATCTGCATTTAGTGATTAATGCTGATGTACAGTATATCTATTGGATCTAACAAAATGATGTTACTTATTATTTTACAACATTGCATTAAAGGATAGCTCTCCCATAACTAACAATTCACAGTATTTATTTGTCTTACTATGGAAGTCAATGGTTAATGGTTTCTACTTTTCTTCAAAATACCTTCCTTCGTGTCCAATTGATGAAAGAAAGTCATAAAGGTTTGAAACCACATGAGGGTGGTTAAAGTTTCATTATTGGGTGAACTATCCCATTAATGTTGTCATAATGATCAGTAAAAAATGCCTTAGTGCCTAGTGGTTTAGAACCAATTAAAACAACAATCACTGTTGCTTACACATAGTTAATCCCATTAAAAATGTTCAAAGGGAAAAAAGCATTCAGTCTAGTCTCATCATGCAAGAAGACACAAGCCTTCATGCATTTCACCTGCTGCAATCCCTTCTCCACTACCAACTTCAACATTCGGAAACCACCTTCCTGGAGCTCCAGCAAGGACATCATCACTTCTCTTACTCTGAACATCTGCTATGGGTAAAGCCAGAGCATTATGCTGAGCTATTATCTTCACAAACACATTTAAAAACATGTGGCCTCAGATTACTTTTAATTGTGCTAAACACTTCCAGGAATGCAGAGTGGACAGTGTTTTGTCTCATGAATGACATATCAGCCTATGTAGCATCTATTTATAACTTTCAAATAAGTGTAGTTCTTGAAGATTTCAATACTAAAAGGGTTCTAAAATCAATTCTAAAAGGGTTCCCACATTAGGCCAACTATAACATTTTCTGACTTACCTAACAAATTTACTGTTAAAAAAACTGAATTTTTATGACATGTAATGCACAAACAAAATAGGCTGCTGTTGTGCTTATATAATAATTATATAACATTTTTAAAACATGTTAAAATAATAAAAAATTTAAATGGTTTTAGCTTACATGTCTTTTTGCATGACTTTAATGTGAGAACAACAAATAATTTAGAAAAATCTGCAAAGTATTTACTCTTCCATATTTGACATCTCAAGAGTTTTGCAAACTTTACATTTAGATTTTCTGTCATCTACTTTGTAACACCCAGTCTTTGAAGTGGTCATTTTGAAGCCAAAGTTCCTAAAATGTATATTATGGCATGTTAGCCTTATGCCGAATTCCCACTGCATGATTTTCAGAGTGGTCATATTGCAGTTGTTTTGACAACAAAACTTTTACTGTATGACTCTTTCTGGGAGAGCATTAAGTTGCTGATGTGTTCACACTTCACTTGGAAGAATGGTAACATGGAAGTTTTTTTTTTTTTAAACTAATGCAGAACATTCAGTCCTCTGCCTCAAAAAAGTGACAACAACTAGTTGAAGTAAAACTAAATATTAATTTTACTTTTCTTTTCAAGAAAAAGATTGAAGCATTTACTTACCTTAACAGGTATTATTACAAAAAAATAATAATAATAAATCTTCTCTCTACTCCCTTACTAAAAAAAAAATAAAAAAAACAGGAATCAACAAGTTTCCAACAAAAGGTGAAAGCCTCTCCTTACAGCTTCCCATTTTGTAAGAAAAAATAATAATTAAACAAATAGATACCCACAATAACAATTAATTACGAATACAGATTGTAAAAAATAATTATAAGATCTGATCATGTATTTGATAATTCACAGTGTGGGACTGTTGCTAGCATGAATGAGGAGCAATTTGCCTCTGATTTTGGCCATTCATCTGCCATTTCAGATCCTGACACGAGCAAAAATCAGGGCTAAAATTGTTCAGTGTAAACACTGCATTGGTTACCCGTGTCTGTTTACTGTTTTTAACTTAAGTGACTGCAACAGTCAAAACTGCATGATAAAAATGGTAGGGTAAAATTGCCTCTTTAGAAATGGAAACAACAAAAATCCCTGATATTCCAAGACTATGAAAAATACAGACTTATTAAAATTCCATGGTATTCCAGTTACTCTATGACCTGTGGGAACCCTGTTACAAAAGCCTCATATTTTCAACTTAAGTATGAACATTGTAAAACCATTGTTATCATTTACTCATCCTTCACTTGTAGTAACCTGTTTGTGTTTCTTTGTTCTGTTCATCACAAATTAAGTTTTACTGAAGAATGGCTGGGGGAAAAATAGCCATTGACTTGCTATGGTATTATTTGGCAATTTTCATTGTATTTTTGTTCCTGCAATGTCCCCCTAACATTCTTCACAATATATTGTTTTGTGTTCAACAAAAGAAAGAAATCCATAAAAGTTTTGAAGTTCAGTTTGAGTGAATGAGGAGTAAATATTCATTTTTGTGTGAACTAACCCTTTAAGATCTGATACAGTACCTCTGAGTTCCTCTTATCAAGTAAAGCCTTGGCTGACTGTAGTTCCTCTTGTGTATTGTGCAGACTGAGCTCCATAGCTCGAACCTCAGCTTCCCATTCATGCCGCTTATGCCCCACCATGATGTCAATCTGCCGCATCAGCTCCTGTAGCTCAGGCTCACAGGATGACAGGACAGAGCTGAAAAAGAGAACAAATAAAACTCAAGCAATACTGAAAGTGCTTAGATTTAGTATGATAATGATAGTGATAGATTTAGTATGATTACCAATTTGACTGCACTGACACTACCAGATGAGAAAAACAAACTTGATCTGAACTGAGCAGAATGATGACAATGTAGTACAGATATTTTATCCTTTATAATCCATTTGAATTCATCTTGATCATGGCTTACCGTTGGGCTCGATTAGGCCCACTGACCCAGCAAATATTTAAACTTTTTTTTAAATATAAAGAAGGTTAGATTTGAGCAGGAAGATAATAATTAGTTGTAATGTTACTTCAAAAAAATTTTTTCTGAAGTTATATTAGCGTAAAAACAATAGTAAAATGTGTACCATATAGAGATGCTCATTTCGATTAATTTTGGCAACGGACAATCGCCACTCGTTAATCGAATATTAACTGTTAACCATTAAAAACATTCTTTAATTTAAAAAAAATTGACGTGGCTAATTTTTGTGTGACACAATAAATATTGCATTTAAAATACTGATTTATTTTAACATGCGAACAGCATACAGAAGCATCTTCATGCACCTGCAGTGTTTACAGCAGCATAGAAAAACAGAAAACTAAACAAAAAGAATAAAATAAATCCTGCTCTAAATATTTTTCATTTAAATGACACATTTAGATTACAAAACGAAAACACTGATTCAATCCTTTTTAAGAACCGGCACAGGCTGTTTGTCCAATCATGTTTTTTTCTTCCATCAAATAAAAATATCAGGCCACCTCAAACAGATCGCTCCACAGAAAATATGCAATTAATAATGCTCCACTGTTATTATTATAGTACAAAACCGCTGTCAACATTTTTAATAGAAATCATTAGTTTAATGATTATGTCTTAATTATGGTTATGACTTATTTCCTCTGTCTCACCCGTGGTATACGTGTGCGCGCTCTGTGTGTAATGATAGACAATGGCAATTATGGCTCATATGTTGACTTTTAGTAAAGTGTAGGCTACTATAGCATATAACAATACATATAATGTTGCATTAATTTGCATAGATATTTTATAAGCTGTAAAATGAAATCCTCAGATTGGTGCGAAGTTATATCATTATGCAAAAATCAAGAAAATCTTTGGATTTGTTTGATTGGTAGATTAGGCTATCTAGGCCACAGGTGTCAAACTCAGTCAGGGCCGCAGCTCTGCACAGTTTAGTTCCAACCCTAATTAAACACACCTGATCAAACTAATTGAATCCTTCAGGCTTGTTTGAAACCTACAGGTAAGTGTGTTGGAGCAGAGTTGGAACTAAACTGTGCAGGGCTTTGGTCCTCCAGGAATTGAGTTTGACACCCCGATCTAGGCTATTAAAAAAAGTATATTATATAAGAACTAATAATAACTGTAATTTTCCAAGTGGAATAGGGTTGGTCTGTTGGTTGTAGCCTGCACTAAATTATCAATAGCCTTTTTATTGCGTTTATGATGCGGCTCCAGGCAGCACGGAGGCGATCAGCATCAGTGCTGGTTTGTCAATTCGCCTGTCAAACTGTGACCAGAAATTTCCTTCTTTCATTTTGCTTCTTTAGAAAAATGCATCTGTAGGCACGTGTGGTTGCACTTGTTACTGTTCCGCGAGTTAACAAATATGTGTTGCACATTTAGGGGCCGATTATAGTGAACGCGCTTTTCCATTGCAAAAACCCGAGGTGAACCTCAGTGCCATTTATGTTGACAAGAAAAAAAAAAAGTGTGTTGCTGATTTTCTGTCACTAGGAAATGACTGAATCAGGTGAGCCGTATTGCTGTCAATGTTGTTATAATTTTAATTTTTAATAACATTATGAAATTCACAATTTGTGAAGTCATACAGCTCTGGATGACTTGAAACAATGACCACAAGTCTCTCCTCCACCATTAAAGTTCGCCTTAGTCGTCTTGACAACGCAAACACTGCTGTCACCTCAAAGGAAACCCTGCCTCTGCTTTCATTTGATTGAAGAATAAAAACGACGCGACTGAGGTAACATGCTTTTTCCACACGAGTGCACATAGTGCGCAACTGCAAAACACGAGGCGTGCATAAGCAGCACGTAAAACACTTGCAGCTGTTAGTAAACCATTCAGAAAAATCGCACCTTTCAATACCTCTCGTTCGCTGTGATCAGCCCCTTGTGCAGCACAACTTTAAAAATATATAAAATAATATTTTATAATAATTTATCTGATACCAATAATCCATTGCAAACGCACCCTTTCAGTTAGTGGTTAATCGTTTTGTTTTTTTGAGCATCCCTAGTACCATATCTAGCACACTTTTGTGTAAGAAAAACATGTACACCAAACCACTCCACCATAACACACTAATTTTATTTCTTTTACATAAAAAGTTAATGCAATTTAAATAAATGTATTAAGAGTAACTAAATGAATTTTGTTTTCAGAGTAATACTTGTGCTGTTTTGTTAAAAAATAAAAATGTTTTTTTTTTAAATTTGGGCTATCGTTGAGTAATCACGAGATATCATATACAGTTACTTTGCAATTAGAAGTTAATATTGGCATTTCTCAAGTTATATTTTCTTACATATCTGATAATATTTAAATGACATTTTTCAATAATTAATATGTTTATGTAGAAAAATAGCATGCTGTTTCATAAAAAAATCTTAATTTGAGTCTTATTCCTTTCATAATAATTTTGTAACATCTTCACTTTTGTTGATCTGAACAGAATCAACAGTGAAGTGACTTGAGTTGAATAACAATGTTATTATCTTCTTCTGAAGAGCTGCCTATAACTTCATAATGGATTCATTTTCACACAAGTTTTTAACTAAACCAATCCTTGAACTTACTAAAGCTCAACATAGATAAAAAAAAGAATATATTTAGACTTTGTTTTACAACAAAGATGGTTTGAATGTAAAGCACTACGTGAATAATTGTAACTTGACTTAAGAGGAATTTAATTTTAAGTGTACCTGGCATCATGATCCCGGAGCGTGCTCAGAAACTCCTCCATTATTTTCAGTAATCTTCAATGTACATCTTTTTTTTTACAGCAGATCAAGACCTGCACTGCATGTATTAGAAAAAGAGATCAATCATGGGAAGGAAGGCTGTAAACCACAGCATCACATCTTAAAACTGCATTTCCATAGGGTGAGTAACTAAGGGCAACTGTAGTACAAATACCACAAGTGTGCTCTGCATTGCATATAGAGGATCATATAAAGCTATATTTCACTGTTAAAACATCAAATAACTTGTTTCCAAATATAAAGATGCATTTACAAGTTAAGTTACATTAGGAGCTATTAATGGAAGCTGAACAACACTGTTAACGTTAGATATTCCTGCGCATAATTGACTTATCGATACTTTTACTGTACTTGGTATATTACGTTATGTTGTACGTTACTAATAAATTACTAACAAATCACTTCTTTGCTAATATTAGCCTGTTAGCGTAAATAAATAGTTCGCTCGTCGTATTTTTTTACTCTTCGTAACGAAAATGAATGTACCCCATGGCATTGTAACTAAATATAAAGTCATGCTTATTTTCCGAAAAACATATATCTCACTTACAATTGCAGGGAAAGTTGTCTTCATGTTTGTAATCTGGGGCTGTAAGGGTGACAGACGTTCAACAGTTGAAAGCGCACAGAAGATCACAACAAAGAAGAACAGAACCACTCTGCCTTGGCTTCCGCAATGTGTCACGTGGTAAGCAACGAGGCCTCTCATTGGACATGTTTACAGAGTCACGACCATAAACAGGGTTTATATATATATATTTTTTACCTTCAGTTTTCTTTTTTTATTTATTTATTCATTTTTTTGCTAATTAAGTTTTACACTTACATTCACATGCACACAAATATGACTGAAACATCACAGATAGCTTCAAACAACATCCAATTTAGAGAATCTTCACCAAAATAACTTAATCTGTAGAGCAATTCATTGTTAAATTCCTAAACAGAATATAGAATACATCCTCCTTATTTCTGACACTATGTCCAATACTACAAAGGACAGCCAAAACAGTACAAATCACACAATATAGCTTAAAAAAGACAATTATGCCAATAGTTCATCAAAGGTTAACAAAAAATCCACATCAGTAACATTAAGCCTAGGATTTATCAACATTAAATGAGAATTATGAGAATTCTCCAATCGACAGTTAAACTTATAGATACATTTCTAACCAAAGCAAAAAAAAAAAAAAAAAATCAAACTTTTACCTCACAAAATAATTGACTTGCACTACACTATTTATTTTTTAAGAAGTATGATCTTACAATCATTATATGCAACCTGCAGCTTATGAAGACTATAAACTGTGTAAAAGAACTGCAATAAGTTTTAAAGAGGTTTACCTTAACCTGCTCCGAACACAAATACAACTTTCTCACCAGCATATAACTTTTGATGTTCCCTGTAGGCTACATATTATTATTATCACTCATGTCTTCAGTAATGACATGTCCTAATATTTAAGTACTACTAAAATTAAAAAAAAAAACTTGTCCTGACAAATAAAAATCTGGAAAAATCCTGTCTTTAGCCTTTGGTTATAAATGTCATGTAATAGAATAGATAAAAGGGAGTTGGTGATTGAATTATTATTGAATAAAAGTCCAGACAATTATAATAAGAAGGTGAGAATAATTAGAAAGTATTTTATATTCAAACCGTTAATATTCAAGTATAAAATTATGTAAATGTAATTATATTGTGTTTAATGCTCTATAAGCATCTTATTTTTATGCTGTTTGTCTTTGACTATATTTACATTATAGAATGAAAGTTCTTGTTTAAATGCTTCCTAATACAAAAGTTAGGAAGATATTACAAATAGCATACGTGTTGTGTTACTTTTCAGTTTTTAGTTTTCAGGCACTTTTATGCTTGTGTCGAATAAATTCTGTTAAATCAAATAAACAACTTCTTCATAAACATTAGTTTTGCAATTGTTTTAACATTTTTACACAATGCGGACTACATTTTCACTGCGTGTAATTTATCGGGTAATTTAAATAATAATGGACTGACAGAGAGTGGCGCTTGTCTTTGTGCCTGCTGACAGGCAGCTGTATAAACAGTCCTCATCATCGCAAAGGACTGTGGGTAACTTGTTTGACCATGAGGTGTTGACATTTTGATTAAGCAACAAAGTTAACTTTAGTAAATATTGCGAGGGAGCTTTAAACATTTACCCACCCAATATTGCATATGGATAATAAAGACATAAGTCACGGATACAGTTCGGGCTTAATAAAACACTAGTGTTTAAGTCAAGTACGTGTTTTTTGTAACTATAGGCAAGCTACGAATCGTTTTGCTTTGATTTACATGTGTGAGCTCAATAAATTGAAGTAAAACATTCAAATTTGTCGTGAACAATCATTCAGAGCTGTTAGCGGCACGCGTTAGCCAAACGTTAAACGGCGGTGGCATAACGTTACAATGTTAAATAAGGACTATTAGAGTCGTGGTTTGTTGTTTTGACGCGTCTTTCAAATGAAATAAATTCATTGCATTTACCCAGGTGTTTCGTAAATGTATAAACAACACTTGTCAGGTTTAGCAGCGGCATATGAGTTTCTGTAGGTTTGTATTGTCTAAGCGTAGGCTGGCTTTGCACGTGGCTCGTTGGTCTAGGGGTATGATTCTCGCTTCGGGTGCGAGAGGTCCCGGGTTCAAATCCCGGACGAGCCCTTAAATTTTAGTTGCATGTTTATTACACCATCCTATGGCTTTAGAGCTAAAACAACGTTTCTTTAAAACTAATGGCATATTTATCTGAATAAAATGCAAATACATATGTATTACGCAGTTAATATAAGTAACGCCCATCTACGCCATTCAAGGAAGGATGGTTAATTGAGATTTACTTTATATTCCTTATAAAGAAGACATCAGTTGCACTCATGTAATTTATCATATGAGTTTGGGAAATAGTAAGTTTATGTTTGCTGACCGTGATTCGCTCTATAAGTGGCTCGTTGGTCTAGGGGTATGATTCTCGCTTTGGGTGCGAGAGGTCCCGGGTTCAAATCCCGGACGAGCCCGATGTTTTTTCAAATAGTTTGGCTTGTTTGAACGTCATTGTTGAAACTGTGACGTGGTTTGTAGATCTTAGCAATAGGTCAATTTGTATGGAGTACATTTGATACGCAGCTCCACAAGTCCCCAATAAAAAGATAGATGCATTTGGGAAATCCTTATCCAAGAGGACAATTTGAGACCAGTGATGCATTTCTCATGAGAAAATGACACTTCAGACCTGGGGATTTGTACAGCATTTATAGACAAGTTTTCACATGTGAAGTTTTTGAGCAACAGTTTTTCTGACTGCTTGTATTGTCCATTTTTTTGTAACAAGTACTGTCTGTTACATCCTATAGTTTCTATGGCACAATGTTTTTACTCAACCTCATGCAGCAATAACTAATTTTTGAGAGTTCTATATGTTGCGATGCTGACATAAAGAAGGACTATCCAGTGCCTAATAATTTACAGTTTTGTGTTTTAAATAATTTTGTTATTAAGAGATTTGTTAGAATGGACCTTTCTCAGGAGACTTATGACAGTCATCATAGTCTTAAATCCCTGAAAGGTTAAATGTCTTGATTAAAAAAAAAACATATACCCATGTATATGTATTCACATGTGTAATATATCATCTTTGCATCAAATTACAAAAAACTAATTACTGCTTGTGCAAGGTCTTTCTAATTCAATCTCTATGGGGCAGGACAGTAAATTTAGCATTGTTCTCTCTGTCATTTTCAGTCTCACACAATTTTTTTTTCACTTACTCTAAACATCTTGATTACCCCATCTGGAGTTTTTATTTTATTTTATCAGCAAATGGAATTGTAAAAAAAATGTTGTACTCTCCTATTCAATGTACTCTAAATTTACCCAACTATGAAAACTTTCACTACTGAGAAACCCAGAAATATGAAAAAGATCCATGTGAACAAAATATGTGACTGTTGAGCACAATAAATATTGGGTAAAAAATAATCAAATTGATTTAGATCTGCATTTTTGTGTTATGTTATAAATTAAAAAAATAATATTCATTTTTCATTAATTAGTGATTGTTATTTACTATTAGTGATATTGATCAATATAAAGGTAGCAAGGCAATAAGACAACAAAAAACCCAATGTTAACCTAACCCACCAGTTGTGTCAAATAAACAACCCAGCATTCTGGGCTAAATGATTAAGCACTTCGGTCAAAACAACCCATACGCGCTTTGTTGCATAGTTAACCAGCAGCTGAATGTTGGGTGATTTTTCAGCCTAGCTTATTTTAGAGTATTCATGAAAATATTAAATTATTATTACATATACTTCTTATTTTATATTCTTAGTATATTCCTCAGTCATAGTTAGAAAGATCATAATTTGATAACACATTTAAAAAAATAGGATCACAGAGAAGAATGTAGAGTCTTGTATAAAAATCATTAATTAATTAATTAATTAATTAAATAACTCATTCATTCATTCATTCATTCATTCATTCATTCATTCATTCATTCATTCATTCATTCACTCATTCATTCATTCATTCATTCATTCATTCATTCATTCATTCATTCATTCATTTTCTTTTCAGCTTAGCCCCTTTATAAATCTGGGGTCATCACAGCGAAATAAACCGCCAACTTATTCAGCATATGTTTAATGCAGCTGATACCCTTCCAGCTGCAACCCATCACTGGGACGTGTTAAAATCATATATCATCATAACTCATCATAACTCATCATAAAGTTAGCTGAGTGTGTGGGAATTGATTAAATACAAAATGACTAAAAAGTAAATGTGTTTTCCAGTATTTTAGGCTTATAGCTCATGAGAAAAACGACTGAAAGGCTATAACTTTTAAAGACGTGTACGTGTACATATTGGGCTAATTTGAATCTTCAGAGGATGAAAGGAATGACCCAAGGATGTTATCAACCACTTCCTGCATTCCATTCAGTTGTGTCTAAAAAGCCACTCGATGACCTTCTGAAAGAGAGTTAACAAGAAATGTCAAGTTTACAAAACCTAGTCTTTGTATTTCTAATTTTACAGACTGCTTTTCCAGTGTACCACTGTGAGTTCTCCCCTAGGGGTTTTCTTCTGCGCTGATAGTTTCTTCCACAAGTTCGTCATCTCTGAACAGATTTCCCAGAACTTCCCAGTTGTTATGTAATCCTCTAAAACGCAAATTCTGAATAACTAGGGGTCTTGCTTTGTGTGCCAAAAGGGGAGGAGAAGGGCAGAAATCTCCTCCCCCACAACGCCACAGCCACTTTAAACACAAACTCACACACACGCCGGTTACTCACACTGACAGCAGAGCCGGTTTGCTCTTATTCACACACCCATTAATTCTCACTCAGAGCCGTTAATCTTCTGACAAAGATCTGCAGTAGTCCACACAGAGAACTGAAGCACTGCTATTCAGCCTTCTGTAAGTACATTTCTTGATTTCCTTCCTTTAAAACCTGGACTGAGTTGAAGTTTTGCTACATTGTTTAGTTAAATGAATTTAAATGATAGGATTTTTAGTCATAGGGCAGAGAATCTTAACTTCTCAGTATTTTGTTTCAGTTTTAAAACAGGAAAACATCAATTTAACCCTACAAGAAGATACACTTGTCTTTAGAAACAAAGTTACATAACATTTCAACTTATTTAAAAAAATACATTTCTTACTGCATTACTGAAATGTTTTTCTTGTTTAGTGTTATTCTAACAGTTTTAGAACTTTTAGGGCAAGAGTAATTGATTATTTATTATCTGAATATTCATATGTCATTGCTTCATTATTGTCTTGTTTCAATTGTGATTAAATATAGTCCCTGGAAAATGATTAATCTTGTGCACTGTTGTTTGACATGAAACAGAAAGAACAAACTGTTCAAATGGATGGACAGTCAAGTTATACTTTGACTAGGATGTCCCTCATATAATATTTTACCTGACCATCACCAACAAGACAACTAAACTAAATGCAATATTATGTAAGAGCTCCTGAAAATATAAACAGATGTCCTGAAAGTCTCCTGAAATATAAACAGATTTTTTTGTGAGCTGAAATTGTAGATGTTTTCCCAAGATTGCAGAAACACGAGACCTTGGTGATCTTTTTTGTTCAGTGTTGTTTTTGTCTGCGTTAGTACTCAGAGAGAGGGCAGAGGTCAACACTTAAAGGTCAAATTAAATCATATAATATTCTGGACTAACAGGTGGTCTGCAGCATTAGAGGAGAATACTATGAGGATGAATGGGCTGTGGGGGCCGAGCTAGCGACAGCTTTGCCATCTGCTTGAAGATTCCAACTGTCATTTTGCTAAGCTAATAGGGGTAGTTCACCCAAATATGAATATTCAGTCATCATCTCTTCTTTGCTAATGTGGACCTCAGGAGAAGATTTACAAAACACTGGAGCCTAGTACAATGTACATGTACAATGAGATTTAGCTGTTTGATAAAAATGGGGTAATGCATTTTTTTGACCCCATGATTTTGCAAATTATTAAACATATTTGGGACAAGAAAGCGTACTGTACGTAAACACATTCAATTACAATCCTGGTTTGATGTAGTTTAATGGTTGTTAGAATAAGAACAATAGTGGTCTCCATCTTTGACTAATAACAGTTGTAAACTGGATCAAAAAGGTCAAAAGTGGACAAGTATAAGCTTTTCAAAGTCTGTTCACACATACATTTAGCACTTGTAATACTGATGAAAAAAACATCTTATTATCATAACATGATATCATAACTGGCATAAACAGTGTCTGAGATTTCCAAATTCAGGGTTTGAGACATTCAAAATGTCAAAATATACTCTGAGCTATCAAAAAACTATATAGGTGGATGAGTAAAAGATGCTGAATTGTAATTTTCTTTGTATAAAATTTGCAAAACTGCATATGCCATTGGAAAATTCTTTTAAAATGAAAATTTTCCCAAGATCTTGTGTGCACATGACTGATATAGCCACAACTGAACATACACTTTTAGAAATAAAAGATACAAAATGTGTCACTGGGGCAGTACCTTTTCAAAAGGTACATTTTTGTTTCTAACAGGTCCTTAAATGTGCATGTGTGTACATGTGTCAGACCCGTACCCAGCCTGGTTAAAAAGGGTGATTCTTTTTTCTCAAAAAGTGGACCTATTCACCTAATTTTCTATTTAATTACGAAATTTAAATACTCATCTTTGTGACATTTTAAGCACTACTTATAGCAGGATTAGCTTTGATATTTTTAGTTTTTTTTTTGATATACCAAAAACATCCTAAATATTTAGAACAAATAAATATGAAAAAAATATGTATTTTTAAAATACAAATTTATCATATTAAATCATTAGAAAAAAATAAATAATAAAAATTAAAACATAATACTACTACTACTACTACTACTACTACTACTACTACTACTAATAATAATAATAATAATAATAATAATAATAATAATAAAAGTTACGGGTGAAATGTTTTTTCTATTTAAAAAAGCAGTAGTGAAAGATGCCTTATCTTGTGTCAGATTGTATGTTTTTTTGCACAGCTGGATGTTGGACTCATGAAAAATATTTGTTTGCATTGATCATAACTGATCATTAATGTGAAGAGACAGCAAAACAGAGATGCCACTTGGTCTTAAAACCTTTTTCGATGGGTTATTTTCACAATTTATGATGACATAGCAGTCAAAATAAGACAAATGAGCTCATGGGACAATATTTGGACTTTTGTCTGTGAGGGGTGGATCTTTCGAACCAGTCGAACCCCCCAGACTATGGGCCTTTGGTACATCATACACTGTGAAAAATAATTAAAGTTAATCATGTTATATCTTAATTTTATAAGTTATTCACAAAGTTTTAAGTCAGCTTAACATAATAGAGAAAGATGCTCCTATATAAGGAATGAAAGAAAAGAGAAAGTTTCACATGGTAATTTCACATGAAATTCTTCATATATAGTGTGCAACTGAAAGTTTTTGTTTTCAATTTTGCAGAATACGCTAAATAAATTCCAGGAGACAGAACTACTGAAACCTTGTCCTTTCATCATGGTGTTGTTTGAAGATCTCGAATGTGGAGTCTGTTACCTGCGTTACTCTCGCATCGACCGCGTTCCCAGAATGCTCCACTGTAACCACACGTTCTGCACTCCCTGTCTGGAGACCATGGGCCTGCATTACAGCGGCTTGTGTTCCGTTCGATGCCCCCTCTGTCGACAGGTCACTTGTGTGGACCGTGGACTCAGCTTGCAGGGAGCTCTTTTTGTCAATTCACAACTGTGGGAGAACATAAGTGAAGAGCAGAAGGACGAAGAAGAGGAGAAGAAGGAGGAAAAGAGGAATGAGGGGAAAAGAGTTGCTTTTCAGCTCCCGCCCTCATCACAGGCTGAATGGTGAGTGGGTTACAGAGATAAAACTGATGAAAGATTGCAATTCAAACATGTTACTACAGCTCCTCTCTAAATAATGTTTAATTTCTGAATTTAAGTCCATAAATGTAAGGGCGCTACTGCGGTCATGTTAATTGAAAAGCTGCAATACAAGAATGAAATTTAGAAAAGAATGAAACAATCTTTTGTGATGAAAGTTGAAAAGTTATACACATAATATTTGTTGGTTGTGCAACATTACAGTTGTTCTCATTAATTTAAATCTATTTTTAAAATTAGAATTTGATGTAATTTCCTTTAAAAAAAAAAGTTTCTTCCTTTAGTTCTCTGATGCAAGTAACTGGTGTCTAATGTGTAACATGCAACCAGATGCAGAAATTAATTTATAAGTCAAGTGAGCCTTTTGAACCAACAACCTCCTTCACCTGATTCTGTTTATAAGTAGCCAGAAAACTGGCAGAAAATGTACACCCAGTATTATGTGTGATCGTAGTAAGAAGAGCTTTGGCCTTGAAATGCTGAAATCAAGTGTAAATGTTTCTGCTTAGTAACCCTTCCGAGACAAAAAAAAAAAAAAAAGTTCTGAATGCATTTGTGTTCATTCATACCTTTCTTTCTCATCTCTGCCTTTAGTCCAGTGCCAAAACAAAACAGACCCAAACTCAGACTCCCAACTTTCCTGAAGAGAATGAGTTTTACCAGGAACCCGGAAGAGAGGATTGTTCCCACCTGCAATGTGTGAGTCTTCATCCTAGCAGACATTTCAAAATATTAAAAGGAATCTTTCAAATTTGTTATAGATTATTGGTTGGTTTACTTAAAAACTGAACTATCATTTATTTGCATTTAAGAAAGTTTATAAAATCTGAAATGTTGGCAAAACTGTTCCCTTTCCATTTACTTTTATCCAAAAATCGTTGCAAAACACCCACCTGCATATAGTCCTGTAGTCTGCTATTAGACTAGATTTCTATTACAGATTCGCACAAAACTTTTGATATCAAATAAATAAAATCTAATATACATTAAATGGGTTTCCCAGTGATTGGGACGGGTTGCTGCTGGAAGGGCGATCGCTGCGTAAAACATATGCTGGATAAGTTGGGGGTTCATTCTGCTATGGTGACCCCTGATTAATAAAGGGACTAAGCCAAAATGAAAATTAATGAATGAATTACACATTACAGTTTTTCTCAGTCACTTTGGTGCGTTTCCAACAACCCTATTTATATTTGCACAACACTTAATGCATTTCTCAAAACAGTTAGTCATTTGTACACATCATAGTAGCAGTTTCTTATTCCTTCCAACAAATTGCAAATATTGGAATATGCATCAATTGCTTTCATACAACTCTCTGCTGTTTTATAACATTATCATTTGCTTATGTTAAAATTAACTAAACTTGTAAATGCTAAATAGTCATTCCATATAAAACTATAGTCCTCATTTCCTTACTCATTACATACAAAAATGTTGAACCAGTTGTCAAAATCCATCAAGCTAATTTAAAAAAAGATAAAAAAAATAAAAATAAAAAAATGTCTTCTAAAATGAGCAATTTAATGAATGATATACATACCTTTGTATGTTGTAGGTTTAGTTCCAATTTGTACTGCAATATTGTTAACAGTTGGGCACAGCTCTACCCAAAGGAAGTTTGTGCAAATTATTGTTGTAAATAGAAGTTTATTTAATCTTTTGCACAATGCTGTAAATAAATAAGAATTGCAAAGATCAAATGCATTAAAAATTTAAAACATACATATTCAGTGTCTTGTACACAGATACCCCACGAAATGCAGTGACGCCTAACTTCACTGCTGTTTTCAAATGGCTATGCAATTAGTACATAGTGCTGTCTTGAGCATTTTCAGGAAGTGCATGGGGAAAATGATTTTTTTTGCATGGGGAAAAATGTCAATGGAGTAAAATGTCATAATAAAAACATGACAAAGACATTTGACTATCTTGTTCATAAACAATAGTGTCAGGACTTTTCATATTGATGACACTGACACTTTCATTGACATCAATATTTACTTTTGAGGAATGAGCCATCCATTTTGACCAAGTGACACGCTTTTGCAGGTTATCAACTAGGTTTTGCAGTTTGTACTAATTGTTTTGAGAAATGAATTAACCATTGTACAAATAAAATAAATATAAATAGTGTTGTGAGAAATGCACTAAAGTAACTGAGAATAAAACTAAATGATGGACTTTCCATGTGTTATGGGAAATATTGTGTTTTTTTTTATTTATCTGTTTTTTCTTTTCGCTATGAGTCAAACGAAGAATCACAACAATGAATTTAGGTTTAGGTCATTTATAGCTATTTATTTACAACATAGCAACTGTTCTGTTGAATTTCAGGTACACATGCCTATAGACTACATGTAGTAAACACACTATGCCATATTTCATTCATAAAATGAATAAATGAACTACAAACATCACAAAAGACGTTACAAAGTATAACTTTTAAAAACATGCACTGGCAAAACATTTTCAAAACTTTTTCTGGCTCCAAAAGCTTGTGTAAATGAACAACCAAAACACACAAAAAATTTTCATTGTGAAAATGGTGATGTGCAGGCATACCTAAAAAATTTAAATAAGCAATTTTCGAAAAACTACAAAATATTTAAAAGAATCATTTTAATAGGGTATATGGACAGCTAGTGTTTCTTTTCATAACAATAAACCTCTGGTGAATGGCTAATGTGACTTTTTTCAAATTTATACGAATCCTTTTACAGCATGTTATAATGTAGTTAAAATATAATCAGTTAATTCATTTAGTTGTTCAAGCGTAAAAAGAGATAAAAAGCCATTTACATGCAGAAACTAATGCAGAAACTCCATTGAAAATACTGGGGTAAAACAAAATGTCATAGTGTAAAAACATGGCACAGAAAAATGTAATTTAACGCAGTGCTTCTTGAAAATTCTCAGACCTACTTTATATTATATATCAATAAAGCAGTGAAGACTGTTGATTTTTAAACAAAACAGACCTTAAATGTGCCGATTTTGTAATAGCGTACAGCTCACCAGAAGCGTTTTACCCAGGTTACTAAAAAATTAAAATTCCTTCTGCATACACCCAATAAATACCGTTATATGTTTTTCACCTTGTGTGACATTGAAGAGCAGAACTACTGTAAATATGCATTGACATTTTCATTAACATTATTATATATTATGTTTTAGATTTGCATAAAGATCATTTTTACCACCAGAATGGCAGATTATTTTAATTAATTAAGATCCCCCAGGAAACAAGACTAAATAATGTTTAGAAAATATGGATTGTTAATATTCGATACAGTTCCGTTTTTTAATTATTTGTACTTGACATAAGAAAAAAGAAAGCAAAAGAATCCTCAAAGAGATCTCATGGCAATTTGTCATTTTTTGATTTAGTAATTTATATAAAGTATAACATCATTTGACAAAAAATATTTTAAAACGATATGTTCACCTTCAACAGATGTGTTCACACAAAAAGAAAATTCAGTGATAAAAATACAGTCATAAACATCATCTTGCTCTGGATTATTATTATTTTTTTAACATTACTGTGACAGCTTGTCAAAAATATGAATAAAGAGAACAATACAACAATTTCAGTTTGACTAACTAAAGTTTGTTTCTCAAAACAGAGAAATGATGTCATGGCGGAGGATTTCATCAGAAGGGATTTTCTGAAAAGCGGGACAGCCACCAATAACAATGGATTATCAATGTTAACAATAGACTTTCACCGTCTGTTTTGCTGCTGTCATTAAAAGTGTGCGCCATATGTTGATTACTTCTGCTGTGCCGAAAAGGCAGGAGCAATAGCCCGTCCTGGACGCAAACACAATTCCCCTCCATGTGGTTCTCCAACTGTATTTTCCGCTTGAATGACCATAAATTTGAATCCCGTTTCTCCATCTGAGGGGAGCGTCTCATTACATATTCCACTCTTAATCCATCCCAGCTGCCATGACCGGATTTGTTTCAGCTGTCCCAAGAGAGAAAGAGGGGGTCCCAGATGCTAAACAGGACTTTGGGAACAGATGGCCTATCTTGAAAGATTCTGATCACCCACCCGTCAATTTTATTTTAAGTTATTTCATGCTTTGTTATTTATAAGATGTTTAAATTATTGTAAATTAAAAAAAGACATCTGATTGGTACATTTTGTTGGTGTTTTTCTCCCTGCACCCATGATGAGGTCTTCTTTGACAAAGTTACGCAGCCATATTGTTTTAGAGGTCTTCTAAGACACATTTCTGAGATTGATGAAACCGGTTTGGAACAAGTGGAGGGTGAGTAAATGATGGCAGAACTTTCATTTTTGGGTGAACTATCACTTTTTAAACATAACATTCTCAAGAAAATATTTCATGAATGGAAATTTAATGAGACAACAAAACAATGAAATTAAAAAAAAAAAAAAGTTTTTAAATGACATGTAAAAATGTAAAATCAGGCCAGGTTAAAAATCCTAATGTTATTTTTTAATTTAGTTTTTCTTATTTGCTATTTTTAAGTTTAACATCAAAGGGATTTATATATGAGATGTCTAAGATGATTCACGCTTTACGACAAGGCATGTTATTCTGCTGAAAGTAGCCATCAGAAGATGGGTACACTGTGCTCATAAAGGGATGGACATGGTCAGCAACAATACTTAATACTTGACACAATGCTTAATTGCCATTATTGAGCCCAAAGTGTCCCAAAAAAATATGCCCCACACCATTACACCACCACCACCAGCCTGAACCATTGATAAAAGGCATGTGGGATCCAGGCTGTCCCTACCATCTGAATGTTGCAGCAGAAATCGAAACTCATCAAACCAGGCAACGTTTTTCCAATTTTCTATTGTCCAATTTAGGGAGCCTGTGTAAATTGTAGCCTTCATTTCCTGTTCTTAGCTGACAGGAGTGGAACCTGGTGTGTTCTTCTGCTGCTGTAACCCATCCGCTTAAAGGTTTCGGTGTGTTGTGTGCTCAGTGAACCTCTTCAGCATATCTTGATTGTAACAAGTGGTTATTTGAGTTACTATTTTTTTTATCAGCTTGAACCAGTCTGGCCATTCTCCTTTGTTCACTGGCATCAACAAGGCATTTGCACCCACAGAACTGCCTCTCACTGGATATTATTTCTTTTTTCGGACTGTTCTCAGTAAAGATGATTATGTGTGAAAATCCCGGTAGATCAGCAGTTTCTGAAATACTCAGACCAGCCAACCATGCCACATTCAAAGTCACTTAAATCACCTTTCTTCTCCATTCTGATGCTCGGTTTAAACTGCAGCAAATCGTCTTGACCATGTCTGCATGCCTAAATGCATTGAGTTGCTGCCACGTGATTGGCTGATTAGAAATTTGCGTTATATATATATATATATATATATATATATATATATATATATATATAGGGTGACAGGCCCAGATGACGGGCCGGCCGGAATGTGTAAAAAAGTCGTTAACATATGGACAATTTTAAATGGAGGACTTGTTCCAAAAGAGCCGACCCCGCAACCACTAAGGCTAAAGATGAAGAAGAAGTGTATATATATTTATGTATATTTATATATATATTTTATATATTTATGTATGTATATGTGTGAGTGTGTGTGTGTGTGTGTGTGTGTGTGTGTGTGTGTGTGTGTGTGTGTGTGTATGTGCGTGTGTGTGTGTGTATTAAGGTCTTATTACTTTTCTTCAAAACTTTAAATGAAAAAACAGAGGTTTAAATTCATTACATTTAATGAATAGAAATTAACTGATAAATAAACATATTTATGGCATCATATGTTGAGAGTATTCTCACATCACAGCAGTTTTCCTCAAACCAACTCCTCAAATGATAAATCAAATCCTGAGCGAGAGCACTTACTGAACAACACAGCTTACATCATCGACGCTGTGCTGTTCAGTAAATGCTCTCGCTCAAGACAGTGGAGATTTATGTAGTTATATCGCTTTTAGCCCTTAGAGATGTGGTGACACATAGTCAGATATTTCACCAAACAGATCAGCCACTTTGACGCTCATAAACAATCATAAAGCCCTTTTGCTGCAGGAATTAGGAGGTTTGCTGAAGGTGCGATTATTAATCAATCTTACTGTTCAATGAACACGACTGTCGTAGTAGTTTATTAAAGACGCAAACCTCTCACTGCATGACAGCTGCACCTTCAGCAAAACCCCTAATTCCTGCAGCACTAGGACTTTATGATTGTTTATGTTTATTGTTTGAGTGTCAAAAGTGGCTGATCTGTTCGGCAAAATATTTGACTGTGTGTCACCGCAGATCAAACGACATAACTAAAGAAATATCCACGTTGCTGAGGGAGAGCTAACTGAACAGCAATGTGAGTGCTGGGAGAGACAGGAGAGGGTACAAGCGTACTTCGGCCCAGTTCAAGGCAACTGTACATAGTGTGAGTATCTTTCCAGTCACCAAAAAATGCAGAGTCATCATTACATTCATTTCTGGAGTTAAGGCATTGACAAGGCACATAGAGTGTAAGAAGTTATTGCATTTCTGACTAGATTAGTTTCAAAAAGAATACCTTCATGATCTAATGTTTTAGCAACTCCCTGTCATCATATAATTGCAACATATTTTTTTGTTCTTGAAAGGTGCGTGGTCTCCTACTCCAAAATAGGTTAAGATACATCCCAAACACTCCCAAATAATTTAGAAGCTGAGACCAAGTTTTAACACTGAAGAACTTTGCTAAATTGCACTTAATCTAAATTCTAGAAATAAAAGTAAAATTAAGCCATTCTTAGAATTTTGACACACTTAAGAGTAAAATTCTATTCTGAGAAGCTTTATACATACGGCCCAAGATCTCTGTGTAAAGCACTGCTTCTGTCAGACTGCAAATAAAAATGTCACTGGATTACAATTAATAGAAAAATGAATGTTTGGAAATGTAAATGGATATTTCCTCCTGACACACTACAGCATCAACGACTAAAAAGAAGGTAACCATTTAAAAAAAAGCTGGTAAAAATAATGGTATTTTAAGAATTTTGGCCACCACTGTGGTATACCAATTAGTATTAGAATTAGAATTTTAGAATTAGAAGTTTATTTATAAACTAATTTCGAGAGGAGCATGTGCTTATGATTGATCGCAGCTGGTCCCACATTAACTAATGCACAATTCACCAGTCAGACTGTAAGGTCCAGCCAGTTAGTCCAATGACTGTGTCTACTGGTGGACGCAGGTTCACTGCATGTTTCCAGTGCACAATGTTGATTTACTTTAAACTTAACTCATATCTGGCTACAATTTTAGTATGGGTGGTTTAGAATATTACTATATATATCCTCGTTTTATCTGACACCATTTATAAAACATTGATGAGATTATTTTGTTTCTTTTAATATTACTTTAGATTATGATTGAATATTCTTTTCGGTTTGTTATTTTATATTATTCTTGTTTATTTGGATTCCTATAACATCCGGAGTCTTGTACGGGCAGAGTCCAATCTCTTAAACACAAGAATGTCAGTCTTGGTCATTAACCAGAGGCGATTAACCACAATTCTAAAAAGGCAATAATTCAAAACATAACAATTTATTAGTCAGTTAAATGTGTATTATGTCAATTCATTCAGTCAATTCATAAACGATCAATACAAGACATCAAATTATCAAAGATAAATCCAAGATTAAAAGATGCATACCTGACTTCAAAATATACATAACATGGAACATGAAGTTCCACGCTATGGGCTGATCTGGGTAACAGAATCACGCCGAACATTTAGAAACTTTCTCTTAAGGAGTAAATCCAAGAATCTCCTTGAGGAAAGGGGTGTGTTAAATACCTAAAGACATTTGCATTTAGTGGAAGAGTTTTTGCTTATAGGAAAGGCATACCCTTAGCAGTGGTTCAAAAGATACCTGAAGTTATACAGTACTTATTGTTTTGATTATGTCTATTTCTGAGGGAATGAGACCATTATACCAGTCACACTGAGCCATTTCAAATGATATCAAACATGATAGATAAAGTGACCTGGGTTGATTTAGAACATTCAGACTTTCAGATGACCATTCTGTGTGAATAGAGTGAAATTGTGCTTCACCTAACTTGGAAAAACACTATAGAAAGTGAGCAAATTGACAAGGAAAGCTGTCCATATGGAGATATTTATATGGTATTGTACAAATAACTTCACCAAAACAATAATTTATTTATAAATAACATGTTCCTGTAAATATCATTAGTGTACAAAGAAATAAAAGTGATGTCTGCCCTGAAGTGTTCAATTTATCTAAACATGTTGAATATGTTAAGTTCTGCACTTTTTTCAGCTGTGTGTTCTAAATACTTTTCCTGTTATGTTGCTTCATTACTTTGATCGCTTCGTCTTTACAACAAATTCTGCTCTTTTATTAACCCATACTTCCCCTTAACCATATACATATTACCTTGACCATACACATACAGTCATATGCCATATACAGTCAAAGTCAGAATTTTTTTTAGCCCTTTTTGATTTTTTTTTCAATATTTTCCAAATTATGTTTAACAGAGCAAGGACATTTTCACAGTATGTCTGATAATATTTTGTCTTCTTGAGAAAATCTTATTTGTTTTATTTCGACTAAAATAAAGGTAGTTTTTATTTATATTTTTAATAGTCTAAAGAACAAACCATCGTTATACAATAACTTGCCTAATTACCCTAACCTAATTAACCTAGTTAAGCCTTTAAATAATGTCACTTTAAGCTGTTACAGAGGTGTCTTGAAAAATATCTAGTCAAATATTATTTACTGTCATCATGGCAAAGATAAAATAAAACCAGTTATTAGAAATACATTATTAAAACTAATATGTTTAGAAACATGTAAAAATCTCTCCATTAAACAGAAATTGGGGGAAAAAAATAAACAGGAGGGGTAATAATTCTGACTTCAACTGTATTGTTGGAAATGGTGATTTTCACACTAGTCTACAACATACCAAAGACAGAAAGACAAAAAAACCCTGCCAATGGATTATATATCCTTTTCATTTAACATTTCTTATCTTTTATGTAGCAGTGATTTGAAAGAGATTTGAGTCTTTTGGTTTACTAAACTTTTATACTACCTTTGTTAAATATGGTCTTTTTATACACACCTGCATGTGTCGTTTCCTGAGAAAATCTCTTTTCCAGTGCATATAGCAAGACATAATTTAAATGCCGATATAAAAGAACAACACATCTTAACAGGAATTCCTTGGAAGAAATATTATTGGCCCCTATGTTTAATTTGTTTCACTGGAAGGCTTTGTGTTTAACAATTCTCCATAGAAGTTATGTAAGAAGGCAACTGCAGGAATTGTTTTAGGAAAACAGAAGTAATCAAAGATTCATTTTTAGATTAACAGTAAGGTTAATAATTCAGCTGCCGTTTAGTTCATCATGTATTACCAACTTGAAGCATCACAATGAAAAGAAAAATATCTTCCGTTGAGTATATCTCAGGTG